CATGATTTTGACTGGTGTGTGTTTTTAATGCCTCTCAGTGTAGTAATGACTCCATTTCTGAGCTTTGTAAGTCCCGAAGTCATATTTCTGCTGTAAGGCTTATCAGTTTGGTCAGTAATTGATCACTTGATCCACACAGGTATTCACTACACCTGCATAGATATTCAACTCATACCAAGGTTTTCACTTGACCCACATGTATTCACTTGACCCACACATGTATTCACTTGATCCACACAGATACTCACTTGACCCACACAGGTGTTCACTTGACCCACACAGGTGTTCACTTGACCCACACATGTATTCACTTGATCCACACAGATACTCACTTGACCCACACGTGTATTCACTTGACCCACACAGGTGTTCACTTGACCCACACAGGTGTTCACTTGATCCACACAGGTGTTCACTTGATCCACATGTATTCACTTGACCCACACATATATTCACTTGACCCACACAAGTATTCACTTGACCCAGACATGTATTCACTTGACCCACACAGATACTCACTTGACCCACACAGGTGTTCACTTGACCCATATGTATTCACTTGACCCACACATGTATTCACTTGACCCACAAAGGTGTTCACTTGATCCACACAGGTATTCACTTGACCACCACAGGTATTCACTTGACCCACACATGTATTCACTTGACCCACACAGATACTCACTTGACCCACACAGGTGTTCACTTGACCCACAAAGGTATTCACTTGACCCACACAGGTGTTCACTTGACCCACATGTATTCACTTGACCCACACATGTATTCACTTGACCCACAAAGGTGTTCACTTGATCCACACAGGTATTCACTTGACCCACGCGTGTATTCACTTGACCCACGCATGTATTCACTTGACCCACACAGGTGTGAACTTGACCCACACAGGTGTGAACTTGACCCACACAGGTATTGATTCTACTTCCATTAGATGCAGCTTTTAAAACATAATCTTGGATGTTAACAAGTTTTGATATGTAGTTTCAGATTAACTCTTTTCAACAGTGCATGCCGGTACACGGGTCGAGACATCATGTGTCCAAATACACCACATTGCTGGTACACCGAACGAGACGTCATGTGTCCACACCGCATGTCGGTAATCTGGCCGAGACGTCATGCGTCCCCACACATCGCATGCTGGTACACCAGCCTAAATGTCGCCATGTAACAAATATATAATGTTATCAATAAAAACCTACTAGTCATATCATTCATTTATTAAATCTTTCACTTTTCACAGTGTCTTTAAACACGTGCAAGTATTTCATTTAAAAAAATCATATTTTATTGATAGATTTTAAATTAATAACTATTTTCCATAATTCTGGCGCTCATGCTTCGACAACAGGTCCATATCGATAATGTCAAAGAGCAAAATAAATACATTTCAAGCAAATCTTTAGATAAATTAAATAATGTATTAAATATGATCTACAAAAAATATCTCTAAAAGTCGTCAAACATACAGCTCAGTTTCTATTTCCATCTTTTTGTATGATTGTGTAATGTGCGTGAAATGCCTTCTTGGCTTTTGTCGCCTTGTTTTTTATGCTTGGGCACGATGTTTAATGCCAAAATATGTGCATGAGAAATCTTTGTCACAGATTCCATATTATTAATATGCGTTGCAATTTCCTGCTTAAAACAATTTAACCACAACTATTTTTAAACCAAAATCTTTCGTCTAAATCTGAAATATGTCACGTAGTAGGATAATACACTGATGCATCAGTAAATCTAAATTCTTTTACTTCTCGATACAAGTATTAATCTCTGGAGATTCCGGGTAAAAATGCAGATCCCCAGTAACCTTTGTTTGTCTCCCGTGGTGATTCCAGGGTAAGTATATTGGTTCCCAAAGACTAGAGGTGCATGGTATTACCCGGTATACCAGATTTTAAATACTAATGAATGCATATCACAATATGTTTGGATAATATAGGTTTGTACTGCATTTTTCAAAATCATGCATATTTTCATCTTATTAGCAAAGTTTACTTAAGTGGCAATTGAACTTATGAAATTCAGAAATTAGCAACCTATTCCTGTTATCGAAAAGTGAAACTATTCGCAAACAGCCTCCTATATGATCATGATGATGTGTGTATTGTGCATACTTGGTGACCATACATGTAGCATGCACAATGGTGGATGAAGACACAAAGATAAGGGGTCCAAAATATGTGGGGGAAGACCACTGGATCCACTTTTATTCAGGTTCACAATTCGATTCCTGACATGGGTACAATGTGTGAAGCCCATTTCTGGTGTCCCCCGCCGTGATATTGCTGGAATATTGCTAAAAGCGGCGTAAAACCATACTCACTCACTCAGGTTCACAACATTTACAGATGAAAGAACATATGCAATATATTGTGGTACAGACGGTTTCGCAATAGACGTGTCACTATTGCAATAAATTGCAATGTGAAAATCAGGCCTTAACCTATCACTACAAGTGACATTTGCTTGTCGTAAGAGGTGACTCCATGGATTGGGTTGTGAGGCTAAGTCATCACATTCCAGTTGCGCGGATCAAAGCTCATGATGTCAATCACTGGATTACCTGCTCCAGTCGTGTATATTTAAAGACTGCCGTCATGTAGCTGGAAAAGGCTAATGTACTGTGTTAAACAATAAACAAACCAAAGGATTCTTCAAAGGCAATTATGATGTGTGTTTTTCCAGCGTGGTTTCCCCATTTGGCTACAACAACGTCATCAGGAACATCCCCAATTTGCTGCTTGTGTTCACGAGTTTGGGAGTTCACAATGGCAACAACATCCTAAAACAAAAACACTTCGGCAAAGAATCTTTGTTCAAAATCTTCTGCAGTCATTCACAAGTCACAATCATTGTTTTGATAGCTGTTATTTCAGTCTTGAAAAAATTAAAAGGCATTTTGGTATTGAATTACTTTGTCTTGTTTTGATGATCACAACACTATTATTTTAGTATCAATAATGGTTGTTGTCATTGTAGGTTTCTACAAAAACTTTGTGGGAATATTTCTGTTGTGTAGAATCAGCAGGAAAATGCTTGAATGCAGTGGCATGGAGATCACTTATGCTGGCACATAGTACAGATAAAACCGAAGTGGTGAGTGAGTGAGTGAGTGAGTATGGTTTTACGCCGCTTTTAGCAATATTCCAGCAATATCACGGCGGGGTACACCAGAAATCGGCTTCACACATTGTACCCATGTCAGGAATCGAACCCGGGTCTTTGGCGTGACGAGCGAACGCTTTAACCACTAGGCTACCCGACCGCCCCATACGAAGTGGTGAGAGCAAGGGGCAAGGTGAACTGGGCTTTGACGTCGCGGTCAAGATTATTGCACTTTTGTGGCATCTTAAACTTGCACGGGTCTATGCATACGGTCCCCAATAGCTTTTGCTTGTCTCCCTGTGGGGATTCTGGGTGAAAATACAGGTCCTCAGTAACCTTTGTTTGTCTCCTGTGGGGATTCCGGGTAATAATATTATACTTAAACTTGCATGCGTCTATGCATACCTGCGGGCAGGCGGATTGATGCCAGTTGTATAATGCTAGCCAGTTGTATAATGCTAGCCTTCTGAGATGCCATGCTGCAACCTGTGAAGATCCAAGTTAGGATTGTTCTTCAGCAACCAATGCTTATCCTAAGAGGAGACTATGCTTGGCGTAAGAGATGACTAACAAAATTTGGATGTCATGTTCGCTGGTTGATGCATGTCATCATATCCGAAATTGCGTAGATCGATGCTCATGCTGTCAATCAAGGGATTGTCTGGTCCAGATTTGATTATTTGCAGACAGTGTCATAAAGCTGGAGTATACTGAGTGCATATGCTTGAAGTCACATTTACTGATGTCCTGTATCTGGGCCGGATGTTGGGATACCTCCCTGTGATAATTACTGTCACTGTGTCGTGTGTCTACTTCTTTCTTGAAGTCACATTTATTGATGTCCCGTATCTGGGCCGGATGTTGGGATACCTCCCTGTGATAATTACTGTCACTGTGTCGTGTGTCTACTTCTTTCTTGAAGTCACATTTATTGATGTCCCGTATCTGGGCCGGATGTTGGGATACCTCCCTGTGATAATTACTGTCACTGTGTCGTGTGTCTACTTCTTTCTTGAAGTCACATTCACTGATGTCCCCTATCTGGGCCGGAGGTTGGGATACCTCCCTGTGATAATTACTGTCACTGTGTCGTGTGTCTACTTCTTTCTCAGTCTCTGAGTTGACTTGCATTGATTTGTCTTGTGGAATAATTTTCTGTAAATTTGATGCTACTAGCTAGAGTCTGGCATTGGATAATTGGATAAGTGTCTGTAAACGCAGACTGATGCTTATATCGGGTAATATTGAAAACTTGGACATTTTCCACAGAAAATTCTTTTCCAATATGAAAGGTCAAGGTTATGACAATATTAACATGTACAATGTAAATGTTATAAATTGAACTCATTTAACATGTTCGAAGGACATCATGAACATGTTGACAGTACTTAGACAAAGACCTGTAATAATAATAAAAAAGCCATCTTAATGAATCATGGAAAGGAGTCTTGGATCAGAGACATTGTTATGTCACCTAGTCAGAGGGCTTCTTGATAGATGTTGCCTGTGAGATGTGTGAGTAGGGTTTGATGTCTAATGATTGTGTAATATTTTGTTGACAGTAATGGCTGTTTGATGTATGATAATGATAATAATTGTTCTGATTTGTTGACAGTGATGGCTGTTTGATGTGTGATAATGATGATAATTTGGTAATTGTTCCATTTTGTTGTGAGAGCTGTCTGATGTGTGACAATAATAATTGTTCCGTTTTGTTGAAAGTGAGGGCTGTCTGTTTGTGATAATGGTGATAACTATTCAATTTTGTTGACAGTGAGAGCTGTCTGATGTGTGATAATAATTGTTCAGTTTTGTTGACGGTGAGAGCTGTTTGATCCGTGATAATGATAATTGTTCTGTTTTGTTGACAGTGAGAGCTGTCTGATGTGAGCGGTCCGGCAGATGATGTGAGACCCAGTCTACCTGGATGGTTCGTGTGCCTCAGTGACCATGAGCCTAGGCAGTGACGAGGTGAACTATCTCGTTTACCGCTACCTGCAGGAATCAGGTAATTTCAATTTTTCTCTCAATATTGAGTGTTGGACAGTTTTTTTTGTGTAATTAGGAAATTTTTTGAAGAGAGGGACTACACATGTACAGAAAATGATTCAAGTTCTCATCCCTACTCCAGATTGGGAATGTGTTTGCAAGTGAGTTGTACATGTGAGCCAGTCTTGATCAGCATTCTCAGTGTTCACTTGAAGATTTCCACTCAGTCTGTCTCAGTGTTGTCCTGTTGAATAAATATACAGTGTAGCCAGCGTCGAGAGTGTATTGACAGCCAGTATTGAGGACCTGGCTTCATAGTAATACTGCAGTGTTGAGAGTGTATTGCATACCTGGCTTCATAGTAATAGTACTAATACTGCAGTGTTGAGAGTGTATTGATGACCTGGCTTCATAGTAATACTGCAGTGTTGAGAGTGTTTGGGCAGCCAGTATTGCATACCTGGCTTCATAGTAATACTGCAGTGTTGAGAGTGTGTTGATGACCTGGCTTCATAGTAAAACTGCAGTGTTGAGAGTGTTTGGGCAGCCAGTATTGCATACCTGGCTTCGTAGTAATACTGCAGTGTTGAGAGTGTATTGCATACCTGGCTTCATAGTTATACTGCTGTGTTGAGAGTGTATTGCATACCTTGCTTCATAGTAATTCTGCTGTGTTGTGAAACACCGATGAAGGGCAGGTATCCAGTGTTGATTGTATTGACAGCAAGTATTGACGACCTGGCTTCATAGTAATTGTATTATACAATGGTATTGTGGGACACAGATGTTGGCCAGGCAGTGGTTGTGTTGTGATGGGGTGCAGTCATAATGACTTCTAACTGACCTATCCTTGGCAACGCAAGGGGTGGGATAAGATTAGAAGCTTTGCTGCCAGTCCAGACAGAATCTCTCTGACTTCGACGACACATGTATGCTAGAGGGAAGAAGATGGGATGGGGCTCCCAACATGTGGACTCGGTTCATCTATAGATGTATGATGCTAGAGCAAAGAAGGTGGGATGGGGACTCCCAATATGTGGACTCGGTCCATCTATAGATGTATGATGCTAGAGGGAAGAAGGTGGGATGGGGGCTCCCAATATGGTGACTCGGTTCATCTATAGATGTATGATCTAGAGCAAAGAAGGTGGGATGGGGACTCCCAATATGTGGACTCGGTCCATCTATAGATGTATGATGCTAGAGGGAAGAAGGTGGAATGGGGGCTCCCAATATGTGGACTCGGTCCATCTATAGATGTATGATGCTAGAGGGAAGAAGGTGGGATGGGGGCTCCCAACATGTGGACTCGGTCCATCTATAGATGTATGATGCTAGAGGGAAGAAGGTGGGATGGGGGCTCCCAATATGTGGACTCGGTCCATCTATAGATGTATGATGCTAGAGGGAAGAAGGTGGGATGGGGACTCCCAACATGTGGACTCGGTTCATCTATAGATGTATGATGCTAGAGCAAAGAAGGTGGGATGGGGACTCCCAATATGTGGACTCGGTCCATCTATAGATGTATGATGCTAGAGGGAAGAAGGTGGGATGGGGGCTCCCAACATGTGGATGCATAAAATTATCTACCGTGCCAAAAAATGTCAATAAAAAACTTACACGATAGGTTATTTAATTGTCAAAAAGTTGTCAATTGAAACAGGGAGGTGCATACTCGCAATACTGCATGCTATCCCTTTCTGTGCACAACGGATTCCTATATTGCTGCATGGAGCTTTGCATCAGCTGACAATGGTAGAGTGCGCAACATTGTTGATCCCTGATTGGCAAAACAAGTGTTTGTTTTTCCATCATCAGGCCTCAAAGTTGCAACTAAGACGGTCGCCAATGCGTCCTAAATTTCAATTTGTCTACTGTCTAAAGTTATGGGGTAGCCTAATGACTACCTTGAAAAATATCTTGTGGCAACGAAATTCTATTGCTAGACATATGCAGACACAAAAATAAACATGTCTGCTGCTAATTGTACTCGCAAATAATTCCTCCTCAAGTCACCAAAGAACCAAAATACATGAATTATAATGTAATTGGTATTTTATTTGAGTTAATAGTTTGTTGGATAAGCAAGGATATACCTATATAATCTAGTAACATAAATTGCATCATTGTTCGAGTCACAAATAACAAAACATAAGTACAGTTTACCCTAATATACAATTCCAAGACTAGTGCCATGACTTGTACATATAATAGTTATTTGATAAAAGATAATTTCAAATGCTTTTGGCTACCAACACTATTGGCTTAACTGGCTACCTCGAAAAAAATACTTGTAGCCGTATCGGCTACTTGGTAAAAAAATTAAACTTTGAGGCCTGATCATAAGATCTATAATTGTACTCGCAAACAGCCCCTCCTAAAGTCGATAAAGGACACAAATACATACATAATACTCCTAAAGTAGACAATGAACAGAAATAGGAATACTATTGTAATTGTTTTAAAAACTTACTATTATTATTTACATTTCTAGAAATTATGATTGAGACTAATAATCATTGCCTTAGAGACTTGTGCAAGTCTAGATACATACTTTTGTAGGAGATTGTTTATGTTCCATTGTGCCTGGCTGAGGTTGCTGTGGATGTCAACCCATGGTGCAGCCCTGGCTAATCTGGGTTTGTTCCACCCGCCACACACTCAGAATAACATTCTGATTTAGTGATATGCTGTAAGGTATTATTGGTATAGGTTGAAGTTATTGCAAACGCAATAGATACAAAGTGAATGGATAGATAGGCAGGCAAAAACTTGTATTAGGGATACAGCCCAACACTTTGGAGTCTTCTTGCCGGAACAGATCTTAATATTGATAGACATTTATTTGCCATGCTTTATGAGGAAGTCTGAAGTCACAGATGCTTATTGGTGACTACCTAGTAATATGGCTGTATGAAGACACTCCTACTGACAAGCCTGTAGTGTGTGTCAATACATCTCTAGTGACAAGCCTGTAGTGTGTGTCAATACATCTCTAGTGACAAGCCTGTAGTACGTGTCAATACATCTCTAGTGACAAGCCTGTAGTGTGAGTAAATACATTTCTAGTGACAAGCCTGTAGTGTGTGTCAATACATCTCTAGTGACAAGCCTGTAGTATGTGTCAATACATTTCTAGTAACAAGCCTGTAGTATGTGTCAATACATCTCTAGTGACAAGCCTGTAGTACGTGTCAATACATCTCTAGTGATAAGCCTGTAGTGTGTGTCAATACATCTCTAGTGACAAGCCTGTAGTGTGTGTCAATACATCTCTAGTGACAAGCCTGTAGTGTGTGTCAATACATCACGAGTGACAAGCCTGTAGTGTGTGTCAATACATCTCTAGTGACAAGCCTGTAGTGTGTGTCAATACATCTCTAGTGACAAGCCTGTAGTGTGTGTCAATACATCTCTAGTGACAAGCCTGTAGTGTGTGCCAGTACATCTCTTGTGACAAGCCTGTAGTACGTGTCATACATCTCTAGTGACAAGCCTGTAGTGTGAGTCAATACATCTCTTGTGACAAGCCTGTAGTGTGAGTCAATACATCTCTTGTGACAAGCCTGTAGTGTGTGCCAGTACATCTCTTGTGACAAGCCTGTAGTGTGTGTCAATACATCTCTAGTGACAAGCCTGTAGTGTGTGTCAATACATTTCTAGTGACAAGCCTGTAGTGTGTGCCAGTACATCTCTTGTGACAAGCCTGTAGTGTGAGTCAATACATCTCTAGTGACAAGCCTGTAGTGTGAGTCAATACATCTCTTGTGACAAGCCTGTAGTGTGTGCCAGTACATCTCTTGTGACAAGCCTGTAGTTTGTGTCAATACATCTCTAGTGACAAGCCTGTAATGTGTGCTAGTGCATCTCTTGTGACAAGCCTGTATTGTGTGTCAATACATCTCTAGTGACAAGCCTGTAGTGTGTGCCAGTACATCTCTTGTGACAAGCCTGTAATGTGTGCCAGTACATCTCTAGTGACAAGCCTGTAGTGTGTGTCAATACATTTCTAGTGACAAGCCTGTAGTGTGTGTCAATACATTTCTAGTGACAAGCCTGTAGTGTTTGTCAACACATCTTTAGTGACAAGCCTGTAGTGTGAGTCAATACATTTCTAGTGACAAGCCTGTAGTGTGTGTCAATACATCTCTAGTGACAAGCCTGTAGTGTGTGCCAGTACACCTCTAGTGACAAGCCTGTAGTGTTTGTCAATTCATCTCTAGTGACAAGCCTGTAGTATGTGTCAATACATCTCTAGTGACAAGCCTGTAGTGTGTGTCAATACATCTCTGGTGACAAGCCTGTAGTGTGTGTCAATACATCTCTAGTGACAAGCCTGTAGTGTGTGTCAATACATCTCTAGTGACAAGCCTGTAGTGTGTGTCAATACATTTCTAGTGACAAGCCTGTAGTGTGAGTCAATACATCTCTAGTGACAAGCCTGTAGTGTGTGTCAATACATCTCTAGTGACAAGCCTGTAGTGTGTGTCAATACATCTCTAGTGACAAGCCTGTAGTGTGTGCCAGTACATCTCTTGTGACAAGCCTGTAGTTTGTGTCAATACATCTCTAGTGACAAGCCTGTAGTGTGTGTTAATACATCTCTTGTGACAAGCCTGTAGTATGTATCAATACATCTCTAGTGACAAGCCTGTAATGTGTGCTAGTGCATCTCTTGTGACAAGCCTGTAGTGTGTGTCAATACATCTCTAGTGACAAGCCTGTAATGTGTGCCAGTACATCTCTTGTGACAAGCCTGTAGTGTGTCTGTGTCAATACATCTCTAGTGACAGGCCTGTAATGTGTGCCAGTACATCTCTTGTGACAAGCCTGTAGTGTGTCTGTGTCAATACATCTCTTGTGACAAGCCTGTAATGTGTGCCAGTACATCTCTTGTGACAAGCCTGTAGTGTGTGTCAATACATCTCTAGTGACAAGCCTGTAATTTGTGCCAGTGCATCTCTAGTGACAAGCCTGTAGTGTGTCTGTGTCAATACATCTCTAGTGACAAGCCTGTAGTGTGTGCCAGTATATCTCTTGTGACAAGCCTGTAATGTGTGCCAATACATTTCTAGTGACAAGCCTGTAGTGTGTGTCAATACATCTCTAGTGACAAGCCTGTAGTGTGTGTCAATACATCTCTAGTGACAAGCCTGTAGTGTGTGTCAATACATCTCTAGTGACAAGCCTGTAATGTGTGCCAGTACATCTCTTGTGACAAGCCTGTAGTGTGTGTCAACACATCTCTTGTGACAAGCCTGTAGTACGTGTCAATACATCTCTTGTGACAAGCCTGTAGTGTGTCTGTGTCAATACATCTCTAGTGACAAGCCTGTAGTGTGTATCAATACATCTCTAGTGACAAGCCTGTAGTGTGTGTCAATACATCTCTAGTGACAAGCCTGTAGTGTGTGTCATACATCTCTAGTGACAAGCCTGTAGTGTGTGTCTATACATCTCTAGTGACAAGCCTGTAGTGTGTGTCAATACATCTCTTGTGACAAGCCTGTAGTTTGTGTCAATACATCTCTAGTGACAAGCCTGTAGTGTGTGTCAATACATCTCTAGTGACAAGCCTGTAGTGTGTGTCAGTACATCTCTAGTGACAAGCCTGTAGTGTGTGTCAATACATCTCTTGTGACAAGCCTGTAGTGTGTATCAATACATCTCTAGTGACAAGCCTGTAGTGTTTGTCAATACATCTCTAGTGACAAGCCTGTAGTGTGTGTCATACATCTCTAGTGACAAGCCTGTAGTGTGTGTCTATACATCTCTAGTGACAAGCCTGTAGTGTGTGTCAATACATCTCTTGTGACAAGCCTGTAGTTTGTGTCAATACATCTCTAGTGACAAGCCTGTAGTGTGTGTCAATACATCTCTAGTGACAAGCCTGTAGTGTGTGTCAGTACATCTCTAGTGACAAGCCTGTAGTGTGTGTCAATACATCTCTTGTGACAAGCCTGTAGTGTGTCTGTGTCAATACATCTCTTGTGACAAGCCTGTATTGAGTAAATCTGTTTCCTCTGTTCCAGGGTTTGTACATTCAGCGTACACGTTTGGTATTGAGAGTCATATCAGTCAGTCCAACATCAATGGGGCTTTGGTGCCGCCGGCCGCCCTGCTCAGCATCATCCAGAAGGGCCTGCAGTACACAGAGGCGGAGATCAGCATCGGAGAGGTACGGCAATTGTAATAGTGGTGTCCCAGAACCTGTCTTGCAAAATCTGCAAAAAGCTTTCACGATAGATGGAAACACTAGCAGGGTTAGAACTTAACTCTGGCCTGCCAGCTCGAGGCTGGTACAAGTTTCCCAGTTTCACCATTGTTACTATATTAAAAGAGCATTTTATGTTACCCAGGCTAGTAAGTTTTTGAGTTCATTTCTAGCCCTGATTAGGAACATTCCTGCTTATATTTTATTACTGTAAGTTAACAACTGTTTTTAGTGTAAAATATGTTAATTTCAGAGACTAGATGTTAGTCTACTCAGTGCCTATTTGGGATTATTGTTTGGGTCTGTGTTGAGAAAGATGTGTTTCTTGTGCTTGTCAGAAGAGACAAAGACGGCTTCATGAAATCTACTGAAGTGAATAGTGGGACATATTTCGGACATAAGATCTTCAAACTAATTTCTCAGGTCAAAAGCCAGATGAAAGCTGTTATCCTGTGACAGTGAAAATAAGGCTTACAGGACGTGTTGTGAACCAGGGTATTTTAATAGATAATATTCAGAGGTGTTGAGGCGTGACAAACAATACCTGGCTGTGTGTGTTTGTAGTGGTGTGTCTTGTTGTGTAATCGACTGCTGGTGTGTCATCGCTGTGATGACGCCTGCTGTGCGACCTGCTCGCTAACACCTGGCTCAAGCACCTGCCTTTCAACATGGCCGACTCCTGCAAGCTGGCGTATAATTACAGGGGATCACGCCATTAAATCACCCATGATGTAACTGGTTGTGTCACATGATGTAACCTTGCCCACCCTGAGAAAGCGCCCCAGAGGCAGCCAGTGTGCCCTGAGCCCTGTAGGGTAAAGTCCAGGTGAAACTGACTATAATCAGCTTAGCACTCTGAAACAGGCCATAGCTGACAGTTGATATGATCAATGAAATCTGGGAACAGACTATACTCCTCAGCTGTGCCTACCAGGAATGTTGAAGCAGGCTATATCCAAATGGGTTGACTGCTGTGAATGTTGAAACAGACTTTATGTATTGAATTAAGGCGTGCTGACTCAGGTTTCAAGATTAACTGAGTGTTTGGGGCTTTGTGCAATCGTCCCACCTGGCCCCTGTGGTCGCCATGCTTGTGTGCTGTGCCCGGCCACAGCCAGCTTCAGTGACGGCCAATTGTGGCCGGTGCTGCCTGCAGGCACCCACTTCTATCACTTGACGAAGCGGCCACACTTTGTCCAAACCACAAGTACCTATGTTCTACATCCGATGTCTTTTGTAGTTGACTTATGACAAGGCTTGCCATGTTTGTGGGTAATGTGTGAAATTCACCCCCATGGCAGTGTCGCTGGGGGCGGGGCCAGCCAGGGCGGGGCGGGGCGGGGCGGGGTAGGGCGGGGCGGGGTAGGATGGGTTAAGAGTATTGATTAGGTCATAGTGTTGTGTTGAGCTGATTAAATTACATGTATTAAACACATATTGTTACTTATAATGATTATTATACAGCATATGTTATAATAGTATACTAAAATGATTATTACATCACAGATATTACATATTACATTATTGCACCACAGATGACATTATTGCATGTATGACACTTCAGATGTTATTTTTGCTTTACACTACAAATGTTATTACATGTATTGTAGGCGACTTATGGGATGGGGTGGTCAGGCTCGCTGACTTGGTTGATGCATGTCATCATATCCCAATTGCGTAGATCAATGCTCACAGAATATTGCTGAGTGCGGTGTTAAACAACAAACAAACAAACATGTGTTACAGAGTCGATGTTTTATATTACACGATAGATGTTATTACATGTATTACACGGCAGATGTTTTATATTACACTACAGATGTTATTGCATGTATTACACGGCAGATGTTTTATATTACACTACAGATGTTATTACATGTATTACACGGCAGATGTTTAATATTACACTACAGATGTTATTACATGTATTACACGGCAGATGTTTATATAACACGATAGATGTTATTACATGTATTACACGGCAGATGTTTATATAACACGATAAATGTTATTACATGTATTACACAGAAGATGTTTTATATTACACTACAGATGTTATTACATGTATTACACGGCAGATGTTTTATATTACACTACAGATGTTATTACATGTATTACACGGCAGATGTTTATATAACACGATAAATGTTATTACATGTATTACACGGCAGATGTTTTATATTACACTACAGATGTTATAACATGTAATGCACGGCAGATGTTTTATATTACACTACAGATGTTATTACACGGCAGATGTTTTATATTACACTACAGATGTTATTACATGTATTAAACGGAAGATGTTTTATATTACACAATAGATGTTATTACATGTATTACACAGCATATGTTTTATATTACACTACAGATGTTATTACATGTATTACACGGCAGATGTTTAATATTACACTACAGATGTTATTACATGTATTACACGGCAGATGTTTATATAACACGATAGATGTTATTACATGTATTACACGGCAGATGTTTTATATTACACTACAGATGTTATTGCATGTATTACACGGCAGATGTTTTATATTACACTACAGATGTTATTACATGTATTACACGGCAGATGTTTAATATTACACTACAGATGTTATTACATGTATTACACGGCAGATGTTTATATAACACGATAGATGTTATTACATGTATTACACGGCAGATGTTTATATAACACGATAAATGTTATTACATGTATTACACAGAAGATGTTTTATATTACACTACAGATGTTATTACATGTATTACACGGCAGATGTTTTATATTACACTACAGATGTTATTACATGTATTACACGGCAGATGTTTATATAACACGATAAATGTTATTACATGTATTACACGGCAGATGTTTTATATTACACTACAGATGTTATAACATGTAATGCACGGCAGATGTTTTATATTACACTACAGATGTTATTACACGGCAGATGTTTTATATTACACTACAGATGTTATTACATGTATTAAACGGAAGATGTTTTATATTACACAATAGATGTTATTACATGTATTACACAGCATATGTTTTATATTACACTACAGATGTTATTACATGTATTACGCAGCAGATGTTTTATATTACACGATCGATGTTATTACATGTATTAAACGGCAGATGTTTATATTACACTACAGATGTTATTACATGTAATGCACGGCAGATGTTTTATATTACACTACAGATGTTATTACATGTATTACACGGCAGATGTTTATATTACACTACAGATGTTATTACATGTTTACATGGCAGATGTTCTTGTTACACTACAGATGTTATTACATGTATTACACGGCAGATGTTTTATGTTACACTACAGATGTTATTTCATGTATTGCACAGCAGATGTTTTATATTACACTACTGATGTTATTACATGTATTAAACGGCAGATGTTTATATTACACTACAGATGTTATTACATGTAATGCACGGCAGATGTTTTATATTACACTACAGATGTTATTACATGTATTACACGGCAGATGTTTATATTACACTACAGATGTTATTACATGTTTACATGGCAGATGTTCTTGTTACACTACAGATGTTATTACATGTATTACACGGCAGATGTTTTATGTTACACTACAGATGTTATTTCATGTATTGCACAGCAGATGTTTTATATTACACTACTGATGTTATTACATGTATTACACGGCAGATGTTTATATTACACTACAGATGTTATTACATCTATTACACGGCAGATGTTTTATGTTACACTACAGATGTTATTACATGTATTACACGGCAGATGTTTTATGTTACACTACAGATGTTATTACATCTATTACGCAGCAGATGTTTTATGTTACACTACAGATGTTATTACATGTATTACGCAGCAGATGTTTTATGTTACACTACAGATGTTATTACATCTATTACACGGCAGATGTTTTATGTTACACTACAGATGTTATTACATGTATTGCACAGCAGATGTTTTATATTACACTACAGATGTTATTACATGTATTACACGGCAGATGTTTATATTACACTACAGATGTTATTACATCTATTACACGGCAGATGTTTTATGTTACACTACAGATGTTATTACATGTATTACATGGCAGATGTTCTATATTACACTACAGATGTTATTACATGTATTACACGGCAGATGTTTTATATTACACTACAGATGTTATTACATGTATTGCACAGCAGATGTTTTATATTACACTACAGATGTTATTACATGTATTACACGGCAGATGTTTTATATTACACTACAGATGTTATTACATGTATTACACAGCAGATGTTTTATATTACACTACAGATGTTATTACATGTATTGCACAGCAGATGTTTTATATTACACTACAGATGTTATTACATGTATTACACGGCAGATGTTTATATTTCACTACAGATGTTATTACATGTATTACACAGCAGATGTTTTATATTACACTACAGCTGTTATTACATGTATTACGCAGCAGATGTTTTATATTACACGATAGATGTTATTACATGTATTACACGGCAGATGTTTATATTACACTACAGATGTTATAACATGTATTACACGGCAGATGTTTTATATTACACGATAGATGTTATTACATGCATTACACGGCAGATGTTTATATTACACTACAGATGTTATTACATGTATTATACGGCAGATGTTTTATGCTACACTACAGATGTTATTACATGTATTACATGGCAGATGTTCTATATTACACTACAGATGTTATTACATGTATATCACAGCAGATGTTTATATTACACTACAGATGTTATTACATGTATTACACGGCAGATGTTTATATTACACTACAGATGTAATTACATCTATTACACGGCAGATGTTTTATGTTACACTACAGATGTTATTACATGTATTACACGGAAGATGTTTTATATTACACAATAGATGTTATTACATGTATTGCACAGCAGATGTTTTATATTACACGATAGATGTTATTACATGTATTACACGGCAGATGTTTATATTACACTACAGATGTTATTACATCTATTACACGGCAGATGTTTTATGTTACACTACAGATGTTATTACATGTATTACATGGCAGATGTTCTATATTACACTACAGATGTTATTACATGTATTACACGGCACATGTTTTATGTTACACTACAGATGTTATTACATGTATTACATGGCAGATGTTCTATATTACACTACAGATGTTATTACATGTATTACACGGCAGATGTTTTATGTTACACTACAGATGTTATTACATGGCAGATGTTTTAAATTACACTACAGATGTTATTACATGTATATCACAGCAGATGTTCTATATTACACGACTGATGTCAGTAAAGTCTACACCTAGTATTACGCAAAACATTTCTCTCCTCTGAAAATTCTTTTTCCTGATGCTGGTTTGGCTTGACTTTTTTATCATCTTGATATACTGTTTTCATAAAATACATATTTTGTGCAGTCTTTTAACTTGTCAATTAATTGAATATTATTGCCACTGCCACAGGCTTACCCCAAAACTTGTATTCAAACCACTGTGTCCGTGCCACAGCAGAAACAAAGTTGTCCAAGGCGGGTGATGGTGCCCTTGGAATCATGTCGGTCTCCCGAGACAGGACGAGCAATCCTTGAAAGTTGCAACCACAACTACAATAATCAGCAACACACAGACTGGGCTATTTACATGGGTTTTGTTTGCTGCTGCAACACGCATTCGATTCGGGTGATAAACTGAAGCAAGTTGATATAAAAACTTAAGTTTAAGTCCTTCTTGTTGGCCCATGGGATGTGGATAATCACACACTGAACGGATAATAAAAAGTGACTAATTATCCATTACCTACCCATTTTAGTGCTGTTGTATTATGGTGCAGACAAGTAGGTGGAACATCCTACGCTGTCAGTTATCCCTGGTTGAGGATTTCAAGATTCACGGCAACGCTTATTATTCTTGAATTTGGCATATTAGAAAAGTGATCAAATTTGCTGTAACTATAATAGTGCAGGGCAAAAGTATTTTTTGGGGGGACTATAGAAGGGGTTTAGCTTTGATTTAGCTACGATTTAGCTTTGTAAAACATGCACCAGTGCAACCTTTTTTGGAAAATTCAACCTAATAATGTTGTCTACATACAGATTCAAATTTTTATCTACCCGGTATTCTTCACTTGTCCACACAACATAAACCTTCGAACATTCAATATCTCTGGGATTTATTTACCATCACTAATCTCTGTGTTGTGTGTAATTTATGACGCGTGACAGTCATCAGAGGTCTGAGATTTCACTTACCTGGACTAGTTTATGCATTCGTTTCAACTTTGATATATTTATGGGACTTGGTTGTAACTTGGATTTGTCTGGAACAAGCTTTTCATGTAACAATGGCTGTCACGTGACTGTGGTACCTGGATAAAGTGGAGCCCTGTCACAAAGGTTGTGACTGTGGTACCTGGATAAAGTGGAGCCCTGTCACGTGACTGTGGTACCTGGATAAAGTGGAGCCCTGTCACATGACTGTGGTACCTGGATAAAGTCAAGCCCTGTCACGTGACTCTGGTACCTTGATAAAGTGGAGCCCTGTCACGTGACTGTTGTACCTGGATAAAGTCTAGCCCTGTCACGTGACTGTGGTACCTGGATAAAGTCAAGCCCTGTCACGTGACTCTGGTACCTGGATAAAGTCTAGCCCTGTCACGTGACTGTGGTACCTGGATAATGTCTAGCCCTGTCCCTTGACTGTGGTACCTGGATTAAGTCTAGCCCTGTCACGTGTCAGTGGTACCTTGATAAAGTAGAGCCCTGTCATGTGACTCTGGTACCTGGATAAAGTCAAGCCCTGTCACGTGGCTGTGGTACCTGGATAAAGTCTAGCCCTGTCACGTGACTGTTGTACCTGGATAAAGTCTAGCCCTGTCACGTGACTGTGGTACCTGGATAAAGTCAAGCCCTGTCATGTGACTCTGGTACCTGGATAAAGTCAAGCCCTGTCACGTGACTGTGGTACCTGGATAATGTCTAGCCCTGTCCCTTGACTGTGGTACCTGGATTAAGTCTAGCCCTGTCACGTGTCAGTGGTACCTTGATAAAGTAGAGCCCTGTCATGTGACTCTGGTACCTGGATAAAGTCAAGCCCTGTCACGTGGCTGTGGTACCTGGATAAAGTCTAGCCCTGTCACGTGACTGTGGTACCTGGATAAAGTGGAGCCCTGTCACGTGACTGTGGTACCTGGATAAAGTGGAGCCCTGTCACGTGACTCTGGTACCTGGATTAAGTCTAGCCCTGTCACGTGACTGGTACCTGGATAAAGTGGAGCCCTGTTACGTGACTCTGGTACCTGGATAAAGTCAAGCCCTGTCACGTGACTGTGGTACCTGGATAAAGTCTAGCCCTGTCACATGACTGTGGTACCTGGATAAAGTGGAGCCCTGTCACATGACTCTGGTACCTGGATAAAGTCTAGCCCTGTCACATGACTCTGGTACCTGGATAAAGTGGAACCCTGTCACATGACTGTGGTACCTGGATAAAGTGGAGCCCTGTCACGTGACTGTGGTACCTGGATAAAGTGGAGCCCTGTCACGTGACTGTGGTACCTGGATAAAGTGGAACCCAGTTACGTGACTGTGGTACCTGGATAAAGTCAAGCCCTGTCACGTGACTGTGGTACCTGGATAAAGTCTAGCCCTGTCACATGACTGTGGTACCTGGATAAAGTGGAGCCCTGTCACATGACTCTGGTACCTGGATAAAGTCTAGCCCTGTCACATGACTCTGGTACCTGGATAAAGTGGAACCCTGTCACATGACTGTGGTACCTGGATAAAGTGGAGCCCTGTCACGTGACTGTGGTACCTGGATAAAGTGGAGCCCTGTCACGTGACTGTGGTACCTGGATAAAGTGGAGCCTTGTCACGTGACTGTGGTACCTGGATAAAGTCTAGCCCTGTCACATGACTGTGGTACCTGGATAAAGTCAAGCCCTGTCACATGACTCTGGTACCTGGATAAAGTCTAGCCCTGTCACGTGACTGTGGTACCTTGATAAAGTGGAGCCCTGTCACATGACTGGTACCTGGATAAAGTGGAGCCCTGTCACGTGACTGTGGTACCTGGATAAAGTCTAGCCCTGTCACGTGACTGTGGTACCTGGATAAAGGCTAGCCCTGTCACAAATGGTTGTGACTGGATAAAGTCCATAAGTCGGTTTTACCTTGATGTCTAATTTAGTTACTCTGCTTGCTTTGTTCACAAGCCCTTTTATAGTGTGCAGTTTTAGTTGATGTGTTAACACTTTTAGTTGATGTGTTAAAATGTTTCTTATCAGTTAGCACTAATGGCTTACATTAATTTCAGGATGGGTCGGAGAGAGTACTCGAGTCCCTGACATTGATCGACGCCATTATGCCCGATGTGGTCGAGTCACGGAAACAGGCTGCCGCCAAAGCCCATCCCATCAAGACGGAGAACGCTAATACTAATGGAGAGGATGCTTCTCTGACAGTCTGTGAGTAGAATACACACCCCTTGTACATCTCTTGCTGGTGGTGGGACTCGAACATGTCAACATTAACTTTCTTCTGAGTACAAATATTTATATGCCACTTTTACCATGCCTATACAAGTACTGATATACTTATTAATTCATTTAAGATTTAATGCGGCTGCAACAGCATGTGCAGTCGGCATCTAATATAGAACCTCCTTGAAATTAATGATCAGGATTAGAACTTAACATGGCAGCAAGCTGTAGACATTTAAAGATACAGACAGGACTAGTGACATTCCCTTGTGGACAACCATCTTTACCATTAGGTTGATGGCAAATCTCCAGCAGATTCTTTTTGCAGATTAGTTTTAGGTAAATATCAGTCACCAGATCATATGCCCTGCTGCCTCATGAAGACCTCCCATTACTACAAGCCTAATAGTTGCTGTATCTTCATGCTAGCGTAGCTGCTCAAATACTGACGGCTAAGTTTTTTCCCCACTTGTTTTCCTGCAAGTGTCTATGTTACGAAACGTCTATGAATACCTGACATGCTTGTCAAGGAAACTCTTCTATCTTGAGGCAAATGTACCTTTAGCGTGCCAAACTTGTTAAAAATAGCAGCCAGTGTGTGTATTTGTTGTTTAACGCCACACTCAGCAATATTCCAGCCATATGACGGCAGTCTGTAAATAATCAAGGCTGGACCAGACAATCCAGTGATTGACATCACGAGCATCGATCTACGCAATTGGGATACGATAACATGCATCAACCAACTCGGAGCCTGACAACCCGATCCCGTTAGTCGCCTCTTATGACAAACATAGTCGCCTTTTAGGGCAAGCATGGGTTGCTGAGGACCTATTCTACGCTGGATCTTCCAGGGTCAGCAGCCATTGTGAGACAGCCGTACTCCCATGTGACACCACATTTGACCTCTTATCAGACCCATGTCCAATCTAGATTGCTGTCCTTATATTTAAACCTTGTCCTACTCCTCAGTGGGCTGAGATATCACACAACTGGTGCGGGACACTAAGGGGCCACCTGGCTGTCTACCTGAATACCTTGGTAATGGACAGTCAAGGAGGAGTTGAATATGAAATCAAATGGTTTCACAGTCATATGACAGTCATCATTTAGGAAATTTGTGTGCTTCCTCCAGTCAGTCATCAAATGTGGTCTTGCACTTGAATGTGGAGTGTTATCAACCTGCCTTCACACCTCGTCCTCCTTCAGTGCAGCCTCCTGGCAAGGCTAAATGTCCTCAAGCGGGCAGTGTTATCAACCATTCAACCTGCCTTCACACCTCGTCCTCCTCCAGTGAAGCCTCCTGGCAAGGCTAAATTTCCTGAAGGGGGAGTGTTATCAACCTGCCTTCACACCTCGTCCTCCTTCAGTGCAGCCTCCTGGCAAGGCTAAATGTCCTCAAGCGGGCAGTGTTATCAACCATTAAACCTGCCTTCACACCTCGTCCTACTTCAGTGCAGCCTCCTGGCAAGGCTAAATGTCCTGAAGGGGCAGTGTTATCAACCTGCCTTCACACCTCGTCCTCCTCCAGTGAAGCCTCCTGGCAAGGCTAAGTGTCCTGAAGGGGGAGTGTTATCAACCTGCCTTCACACCTCGTCCTCCTCCAGTGCAGCCTCCTGGCAAGGCTAAGTGTCCTGAAGGGGGCAGTGTTATCAACCTGCCTTCACACCTCGTCCTCCTTCAGTGAAGCCTCCTGGCAAGGCTAAATGTCCTGAAGGGGGAGTGTTATCAACCTGCCTTCACACCTCGTCCTCCTTCAGTGCAGCCTCCTGGCAAGGCTAAGTATCCTGAAGGGGGAGTGTTATCAACCTGCCTTCACACCTCGTCCTCCTTCAGTGAAGCCTCCTGGCAAGGCTAAGTATCCTGAAGGGGCAGTGTTATCAACCTGCCTTCACACCTCGTTCTCCTTCAGTGAAGCCTCCTGGCAAGGCTAAGTATCCTGAAGGGGGAGTGTTATCAACCTGCCTTCACACCTCGTCCTCCTTCAGTGAAGCCTCCTGGCAAGGCTAAGTATCCTGAAGGGGGAGTGTTATCAACCTGCCTTCACACCTCGTCCTCCTCCAGTGCAGCCTCCTGGCAAGGCTAAATGTCCTGAAGAGGGAGTGTTATCAACCTGCCTTCACACCTCGTCCCCTTCCAGTGAAGCCTCCTGGCAAGGCTAAGTGTCCTGAAGAGGGAGTGTTATCATCGTTACTGTATTTGACATATTAAGCGCCCAGGGCGCTCTCAAAATTAGAAATAGGGGGCTCTTATTGGAATATAATTTTGGTGAGAGAAAAAACAGAGTTAAAAGATTGTAAATTTTGTGGTTTATGCTGACAGCCTGAAATGATACATAAGAAAAGACTGTGCGAATAATGCACGACAGATTTTCCAGAATTTAATTGCCCATAATTAAGGGTGCATATAACACACGAATGCGTATTATACACGAATAAATAAGTCTAGTGTACATTGATCAATCAGAAAGGGGGGTAAATTGGGATTGTTCACCAGACAATATATTAGCAAATATTGCCATGGGCGCTTATTAAGTCAAATATGGTATGTACATCTGACAGTGAATAACTGGTTGTGTTTCATCTCTCTTGAAGAACCGAAGCATTCCCCTTCTTTTCACCCCCTGTACGTGAATGTACACTAGTATGTGTGATACTCATGTGTTGTAACAGGGACAGAATATTGACTCCAAAATGACAGACACATAATGGACTTATTTTTCTTGACAAAGAAATATAATGGTGACAGTGGGGTTGTAGCCTCTTACTAGATACAGTGATATCAACTTACTGTTTAGTCCACTAGTCCTTATGATGATAACATAGCAAAACCCTTAATAATGGCAAGTCCTTATGATACCTTAACTATTGGGCAGTTTGGCAAAGTCTATAGAACTAGTGCCATTTTCTAACGCTGACATATGTCCTAGGACAAGAGTATGTGTCCTACTTGTTGACGCATGGACAGTTGTGGCAGGTGACTAGATGTGTCCTGTGTGGACAGTTGCAGCAGGTGACTAGATATGTCCCGTGTAGACAGTTGTGGCAGGTGACTAGATGTGTCCTGTGTGGACAGTTACAGCAGGTGACTAGATGTGTCCTGTGTAGACAGTTGTAGCAGGTGACTAGATGTGTCCTGTGTAGACAGTTGTGGCAGGTGACTAGATGTGTCCTGTGTAGACAGTTGCAGCAGGTGACTAGATGTGTCCTGTGTGGACAGTTGCAGCAGGTGACTAGATATGTCCTGTGTAGACAGTTGTGGCAGGTGACTAGATGTGTCCTGTGTGGACAGTTGTGGCAGGTGACTGGATGTGTCCTGTGTGGACAGTTGTTGCAGGTGACTAGATGTGGACAGTTGTGGCAGGTGACTAGATGTGTCCTGTGTGGACAGTTGTAGCAGGTGGCTAGATGTGTCCTGTGTAGACAGTTGTGGCAGGTGACTAGATGTGTTCTTTGTGGACAGTTGTGGCAGGTTGCTAGATATGGACAGATGTGGCAGGTGACTAGATGTGTCCTGTGTGGACAGTTGTGACAGGTGACTAGATGTGTCCTGTGTAGACGGTTGTAGCAGGTGACTAGATGTGTCCTGTGTGGACAGTTATGGCAGGTGGCTAGATGTGTCCTGTGTGGACAGTTGCAGCAGGTGGCTAGATGTGTCCTGTGTGGACAGTTGCAGCAGGTGACTAGATGTGTCCTGTGTAGACAGTTGTGGCAGGTGACTAGATGTGTCCTGTGTGGACAGTTGCAGCAGGTGACTAGATGTGTCCTGTGTAGACAGTTGTGGCAGGTGACTAGATGTGTCCTGTGTGGACAGTTGTAGCAGGTGACTAGATGTGTCCTGTGTAGACAGTTGTTGCAGGTGACTAGATGTGTCCTGTGTGGACAGTTGCAGCAGGTGACTAGATATGTCCTGTGTGGAGAGTTGTAGCAGGTGACTAGATGTGTCCTGTGTGGACAGTTGCAGCAGGTGGCTAGATGTGTCCTGTGTAGACAGTTGCAGCAGGTGACTAGATATGTCCTGTGTAGACAGTTGCAGCAGGTGACTAGATGTGTCCTGTGTGGACAGTTGTGGCAGGTGACTAGATGTGTCCTGTGTGGACAGTTGCAGCAGGTGACTAGATGTGTCCTGTGTGGACAGTTGTGGCAGGTGACTAGATGTGTCCCGTGTGGACAGTTGTGGCAGGTGACTAGATGTGTCCTGTGTGGACAGTTGCAGCAGGTGACTAGATGTGTCCTGTGTGGACAGTTGCAGCAGGTGACTAGATATGTCCTATGTGGACAGTTGTAGCAGGTGACTAGATATGTCCTGTGTGGACAGTTGTAGCAGGTGACTAGATGTGTCCTGTGTGGACAGTTGCAGCAGGTGACTAGATGTGTCCTGTGTGGACAGTTGCAGCAGGTGACTAGATGTGTCCTGTGTGGACAGTTGCAGCAGGTGACTAGATGTGTCCTGTGTGGACAGTTGCAGCAGGTGACTAGATGTGTTCTGCTTGTTGATATTTGTGACATGTGGACAGTTGTAGCAGGTGACAGTTGGGTTGTAGCAGGTGACTAGATGTGTCCTGTGTGGACAGTTGCAGCAGGTGACTAGATGTGTCCTGTGTGGACAGTTGCAGCAGGTGACTAGATGTGTTCTGCTTGTTGACATTTGTGACATGTGGACAGTTGTAGCAGGTGACAGTTGGGTTGTAGCAGGTGACTAGATGTGTCCTACAACACAAGTGCATGAGCCCTGCTTGTTGATGTCTGGGTAGTTAGCTTCTCCCAACTGTTTACACGCAATCTAGCAGTTGGCTAAAAATACATCTGATGAGACCCAGCTTTGCCAGGCTTTGCTGTGTATATTTCTGTGCGGCTTTTTGCGGCAGCGTGATAGTGGCATAAGCTGGCCCTATATATATGTGTGTTACTGCGTGTTATGTGACCTGAATGCCGGCTGACTGGCTCCCTCCAGGAATGGGGCCAGCACGCTGTTGTGTAACAAGGTACATTCACACAAAGCACCACCAGCTGTTTACACCAGTCAACAGCTCCACCGAGATAACAAACCCTGGCCCTGTGCCAGATGTCAGTCTAATCCAGCAGCCAACCAGCGAGCAAGCCGCTGCCTTGGGGGGTCAGGGGGAGGGACGGCAGGGAGATGGGGGGGGGAGATGTAAGTGGAACAGTCACGTGTTGCCTGCACTAGACTTGCTGGCGTGTGGAGGTTTTGCTGAGTCATGCCATTTACTGATTATCGCCCTCCCTCTTGCCTCATTCTGATAATTCGGGGTGAACCAGTCTGAGCAGCATCTCCCGACAGCTGCCAGTGTTCCTACATGTATTGCAATCGCTGCAGTCACATGACCCACTATTGATTTTACAGCCTCCCTGACTCATTCAAGTGAATGTCCGGGAAATATTTAGCCGTGTGAGCAAACAAGGTTCTCGGAAGTGCTGTTGCCAGGAGCTGTTGGAAGGTCAAGGTCGTTTGATATTTATATTTGCGTACCTGGGGCACACAGATAGTATTGCCTGCCCTTGGATATGTCATTAGGACTGATAAACAAGGTGTCACGTGACTGACTGCACTGTCTGCAGGCCGAGTCCACTTTGGGCTGGAGGGTGGAGATTATTTGACTTGGACCAGTTCATGTTTATTCTGTACAGGGTGGGGACTTTACTTGGCCGATGAACAATGGAAGACTTGAAACATGGTAGCTGACAGTCTGGCTACAACCAATCAGTGTAGGAGACAAGAATAGGGTGCATCTTTCCGCACAGAACCCTTTATGATGATGGTGATCATTATCATCATCATCATGATCCATCCCAGCTGTGGGAGATGAAGACTTTCCTCACTGTGTGGTACATGGGAGTGATACATGATGGAGCATTTATGGAAATAAGAATTGATTGATTATGTGTAAAAAACAAAACTGTCCCACATTTTGCCTTCTATTACTTCATGCCATGGCTGGTGTGGTAGGTTATGGCTGACTCACTGCTGTGCACTTGAGGCATGTGGTGTGTCGTGAAGTGTTGCACGCTCCAACAATCCTACACACACACACAGCTGTGATGGTAGGTGACGGCAGCACCTGATGTTGAATGGTTGCTATCAGTATTAACAGGTGTGTTGTATTGGTTCATTGTGGGTTATGTCTTAATACAGCTGACATGAGCATCAAATCATGGCGGGGAAAAATAGAGCGTCTAGTTATCTTGAACAGGTGCTTGTAAGTAAGTAGACCAGATCTGCCAACAGCAGTTGAAGGGATGCTCCTTGAGCCTGGGGAGGCAAGTCACTGCAAGGTTGAACTAGATGTTTGTAAAAGGTAGTTTTAGATTTAACCGTTTGAGTTGGCAGAATACCACTGTCAGTGTGGGGTGGGATGGGTTGACATGAAGATAGGGCTTAGACGGGAAAGTTGTTACAGTTACACCAGCAGGATATTTCTCATCGGTTTCAACGATGTAGATGAAAGAGGATTTGGTTGACCTTGTAGCTACCTTGTGTTGATAGCGGTCGTGTCCCTGATGGTCAACTTTACAGATTTAAGGACTTTTTATAAAGTTCAATTCAGTCTCATTAGAGCGGGGGAAAATAGATTAAACAACTCTGACTTGACAAAGTTACCTAGATGTGGCTGGAGGTACAACTCCTGATAGTCAACACTGCATTGTCACCTTAATCATTGCAGAAGCGTTTCCTTCTGCAAAGTAACAAGTATTTATGGCAAAATTGTCTGGTGACAAAAATTCTAGAAATACATTTGTAGATTTTGGGTCGGCAGTGATATAAAACATTTTTTTAAGATAGTATATTTTTGTTTTGATTCTATTTTCCTAAATATTTTGGGTCGAAGGATCCATAAACCAACCTAAAACAGAAAGGCCAAAAGGGACCCTAGACAACTTCGATCACACAGTTTGCCATGGTTAGCCTCGTCCAGGCTGTGGCAGGCATATATGGGGGAAATACTTCAGTTCACCATTGTATCGCGTGTTTCATGCAACGATGCAATTTTTATCCCCCCCCCGGAATATTTTCCTGGGGGATATGGTCATCATCTGATCTGTCTGTCCTCCCATCCGTCCATCCGCTTCTCAAAGGGGACAAATTTTTTACAAAAAACAACTTATGCCAAAGAAATGAAATTTCAACACAGATGTTACTGGTCATGATTTCGAATTAGTTCGGAAATTGGTGCAATAAATTCATTTTTTTACGGAGTTTTTGCCCTTGCTAAATGTTTTTCAGCTTAGTGCATACTGCGTTAAATGGGGACATGTTTTCTCAGAAACTACTGAAGTTACTTGAATGAAAGTTTGCATGCTTATCTAAGTAATACTTGTCAAGACTGAGGTTCTAAAATTGGTCACATAAATTATTTTGTTTTATAGACTTACGACCCTTGATGTGTGTTATAGTGTCTGCAATGGGGACATGTTTTCTCAGAAACTACTGAAGTTAGCTCATCTATGATTAAGAGATACCTATCATTAAGAATGAGTTATCTGTTGACATAAAGCAGCCCAAGTGCCAATGTCTTCTTAAGGTTTTATAGTACTTTTTGTATAGTTTTTATTCACTCCCATATGAACAAACAAAATTCTAATATGTGCCACGGCGGGGGATAATGAAAATGCTGTTTTCTTGTTTGAACTGGCTTCACCAAACATAAGTGTTCTAGATTCTGGCTTCACCAAACATAAGTGTTCTAGTATCAGACTTCACCAAACATAAGTGTTCTAGACTCTGGCTTCACCAAACATAAGTGTTCTAGACTCTGGCTTCACCAAACATAAGTGTTCTAGACTCTGGCTTCACCAAACATAAGTGTTCTAGGCTCTGACTTCACCAAACATAAGTGTTCTAGACTCTGGCTTCACCAAACATAAGTGTTCTAGTATCAGACTTCACCAAACATAAATGTTCTAGACTCTGGCTTCAACAAACATAAGTGTTCTAGTATCAGACTTCACCAAACATAAGTGTTCTAGACTCTGGCTTCACCAAACATAAGTGTTCTAGGCTCTGACTTCACCAAACATAAGTGTTCTAGACTCTGGCTTCACCAAACATAAGTGTTCTAGTATCAGACTTCACCAAACATAAATGTTCTAGACTCTGGCTTCAACAAACATAAGTGTTCTAGTATCAGACTTCACCAAACATAAGTGTTCTAGACTCTGGCTTCACCAAACATAAGTGTTCTAGTATCAGACTTCACCAAACATAAGTGTTCTAGTCTCTGACTTCACCAAACATAAGTGTTCTAGACTCTGGCTTCACCAAACATAAGTGTTCTAGTATCAAACTTCACCAAACATAAATGTTCTAGACTCTGGCTTCAACAAACATAAGTGTTCTAGACTCTGGCTTCAACAAACATAAATGTTCTAGTCTCTGGCTTCCACAAACATAAGTGTTCTAGACTCTGGCTTCACCAAACATAAGTGTTTTAGACTCTGGCTTCACCAAACATAAGTGTTCTAGTATCAGACTTCACCAAACATAAATGTTATAGACTCTGGCTTCAACAAACATAAGTGTTCTAGACTCTGGCTTCAACAAACATAAATGTTCTAGTCTCTGGCTTCCACAAACATAAGTGTTTAAGAGTCTGGCTTCACCAAACATAAGTGTTCTAGACTCTGGCTTCACCAAACATAAATGTTCTAGTCTCTGGCTTCCACAAACATAAGTGTTCTAGTCTCTGGCTTCCACAAACATAAGTGTTCTAGACTCTGGCTTCACCAAACATAAGTGTTCTAGACTCTGGCTTCCACAAACATAAATGTTCTAGTCTCTGGCTTCACCAAACATAAGTGTTCTTGACTCTGGCTTCCACAAACATAAGTGTTCTAGACTCTGGCTTCCACAAACATAAGTATTTAAGAGTCTGGCTTCAGACAAGTGATTAAAGTCGTAGACTGGTGAGACTTAGTTTGATGTTGTGTTAAGCATTAACAGTATTTTCCGGTTTGTTGGAGGTGTAAATGAATACGGTGGTGTACATACTGTGTAAATTCACAGAGTGCACGCTGATTTTTACATTCATTACCCTATAAACATATTGAAGTCCATTCTTTTGAATAAATACGGCAGGTCAACAATTATGACTTAACAGTCTGCTTATTTAATTATCAACACAAAAAAACTGTAGACAACAATACGAAGTCAGTGACGTTGTTCAGCGTAACCAGGCAACACTCTGTTATCAACCAATCAGGAAACAGTAGTCTGGCAGTGAGTGTGGCCTGTTTTTGTTTTCTTGTTTATGGAAACATAAACTCAAAAAAGATCGCTTGGTTAGCCAATTAACTGCCATGGAATCACTTGCAATTTATTTATTTTCAGCCAACCACACGGACACAATGGAGGTTGATGGAGCTGTGGAGATCCCTGGCAACCGAGCCACGGTGCTGCGCGGCCACGAGTCCGAGGTGTTCATCTGTGCCTGGAACCCGACCAATGATCTCTTGGCTTCAGGGTAAGTGCCTGGAGCTCCCCGATCAATGATCTCTTGGCTTCAGGGTAAGTGCCTGGGCTCCCCGATCAATGATCTCTTGGCTTCAGGGTAAGTGCCTGGGCTCCCCGATCAATGATCTCTTGGCTTCAGGGTAAGTGCCTGGGCTCCCCGACCAATGATCTCTTGGCTTCAGGGTAAGTGCCTGGAGCTCCCCGACCAATGATCTCTTGGCTTCAGGGTAAGTGCCTGGAGCTCCCCGACCAATGATCTCTTGGCTTCAGGGTAAGTGCCTGGAGCTCCCCGATCAATGATCTCTTGGCTTCAGGGTAAGTGCCTGGGCTCCCCGACCAATGATCTCTTGGCTTCAGGGTAAGTGCCTGGAGCTCCCCGACCAATGATCTCTTGGCTTCAGGGTAAGTGCCTGGAGCTCCCCGACCAATGATCTCTTGGCTTCAGGTTAAGTGCCTGGAGCTCCCTGACCAATGATCTCTTGGCTTCAGGGTAAGTGCCTGGAGCTCCCCGATCAATGATCTCTTGGCTTCAGGGTAAGTGCCTGGGCTCCCCGACCAATGATCTCTTGGCTTCAGGGTAAGTGCCTGGAGCTCCCCGATCAATGATCTCCTGTCTTCAGGGTAAGTGCCTGGAGCTCCCCGACCAATGATCTCTTGGCTTCAGGGTAAGTGCCTGGAGCTCCCCGATCAATGATCTCCTGTCTTCAGGGTTAGTGCCTGGAGCTCCCCGACCAATGATCTCCTGTCTTCAGGGTAAGTGCCTGGAGCTCCCCGACCAATGATCTTCTGGCTTCAGGGTAAGTGCCTGGGCTCCCCGACCAATGATCTCTTGGCTTCAGGGTAAGTGCCTGGAGCTCCCCGACCAATGATCTCTTGGCTTCAGGGTAAGTGCCTGGAGCTCCCCGACCAATGATCTCTTGGCTTCAGGGTAAGTGCCTGGAGCTCCCCGACCAATGATCTCCTGTCTTCAGGGTAAGTGCCTGGAGCTCCCCGACCAATGATCTCTTGGCTTCAGGGTAAGTGCCTGGAGCTCCCCGACCAATAATCTCCTAGCTTCAGGGTAAGTGCCTGGAACCTGAGTTGGCTTCAGGGTAACTTGACTGAGTGACTGGTGACTGACCAAGTTGTTGGTCTTGTCAGGTGCATACTTACTTTTATCCATTATTTGAATGAATAAAGAACTGATTTCTCCAAATGAAAATTGTAGTACTGCTTTAGTCAATGCTTTGAGTGGTATTCTGGACTCACATTTTGAAGAGTGAGATGTTTATTGTGATGTGTGCAGGTCCGGTGACTCGACAGCTCGCATCTGGAACATGAACGACAACAGCAGCAACGCCAACCAGCTGGTGCTGCGACACTGTATACAGAAGGGGGGGACGGAGGTCCCCAGTAATAAGGACGTCACATCTCTAGACTGGAATGTTAGTATGGCTTCCAACAACATCTGGTGCTACTCGGGATAAGTCATAAAAGGGAAACAACTCAAGGGTCTTGCACAAAGGGAAATTACTCTATGAACTCTCAAAGAGCAACTTTCTCTGAGTCATAAGTGGGGAAAAATCTGATTGTGCTCATAAAGGGAGGCTACTCTAAGTTAAGGTCACAATGCAAGCAAAGGGAAATGTTCTTAATCTGTGTTGTATAATAATACAGTGAACTTAAAGTTGGTCCCATTTGGAAGATTAAGGAGACTGATTAATTAGTGATTTCTGTAATTTGTTGCAAATTAGGTGTCTAAGTCGTAGTGCGAGACTGTCGGATAAACATGTCTAAATAGCACTGATTTAATTGATTCCTGTCATTAGTGTTGGATTAATGAGTGTCAAAATAACGAGACGTGACTGTATTCTGTTCCAAAGTAGAAGTAAAATGTATGGATAGATATAGATATAGAATGTCCATGTATTTTGTGTATGTAAGTGTGTGTCTTGGCGTTTCAGTGTGACGGCACATTACTAGCTACAGGGTCTTACGATGGTTATGCGAGGATATGGAGCACAGATGGTAAGTTGCCCATTGTTTGCACGACATTTTGAAGTATGAAACTGTAATTATCACTCCACAGAATGGCAACAACTAGTTTAGCTGTCTGTGGACTGTGGGGTCTTGAGGTTTGCGGCTATAACACAAACTCAGCAGAAGAATGAAGGGTCGTTGTTTTGAGCCTAGTGTTAAAGATTGCAGGGGGCATCAGCTGAAGCAGTAAGCCACAAGGACTCTTCTACTTTGAACACAGTGGAACATTTGAATACATGAACAACCAAATGTTTAAGTGTTTTCATTGTGACAAGAACGCTGGCACAGTTCAGCAGTGGACATGTCCTGTTGACGACTATCCTGGCTGCTGACAGATTGTAGCCTTGTCAAGCTGCTTCTGTTGTGTCAGTCCTTGTGCCGGCTGTCTGTGTTCACATCCGTAATGTCAGTGTGTCACCTGCTCACTGAAGTCTGCACTGAACACATGAGTAGACTCGGAGAAGGTGTGTTCAGTAGGCTTACAATTATCTCGCACACACGAGTCGCGAGAACACAGGAAGTAGCTCCGCTACTGCACCCACATCAGGCAGGACCTGGTTGTGAGCATGATCATAGACTGTACACTGTAGTAGGGTTGGGTTTAATCACTAGCTTCGCTACTGCACCCACATCAGGCAGGACCTGGTTGTGAGCATGATCATAGACTGTACACTGTAGTAGGGTTGGGTTTAATCACTAGCTCCGCTACTGCACCCACATCAGGCAGGACCTGGTTGTGAGCATGATCATAGACAGTACACTGTAGTAGGGTTGGGTTTAATCACTAGCTTCGCTACTGCACCCACATCAGGCAGGACCTGGTTGTGTGCATGATCATAGACTGTACACTGTAGTAGGGTTGGGTTTAATCACTAGCTCCGCTACTGCACCCACATCAGGCAGGACCTGGTTGTGAGCATGATCATAGACTGTACACTGTAGTAGGGTTGGGTTTAATCACTAGCTTCGCTACTGCACCCACATCAGGCAGGACCTGGTTGTGTGCATGATCATACACAGTACACTGTAGTAGGGTTGGGTTTAATCACTAGCTTCGCTACTGCACCCACATCAGGCAGGACCTGGTTGTGTGCATGATCATAGACAGTACACTGTAGTAGAGTTGGGTTTAATCACTAGCTTCGCTACTGCACCCACATCAGGCAGGACCTGGTTGTGTGCATGATCATAGACTGTACACTGTAGTAGGGTTGGGTTTAATCACTAGCTTCGCTACTGCACCCACATCAGGCAGGACCTGGTTGTGAGCATGATCATAGACTGTACACTGTAGTAGGGTTGGGTTTAATCACTAGCTTCGCTACTGCACCCACATCAGGCAGGACCTGGTTGTGAGCATGATCATAGACTGTACACTGTAGTAGGGTTGGGTTTAATCACTAGCTTCGCTACTGCACCCACATCAGGCAGGACCTGGTTGTGAGCATGATCATAGACTGTACACTGTAGTAGGGTTGGGTTTAATCACTAGCTTCGCTACTGCACCCACATCAGGCAGGACCTGGTTGTGAGCATGATCATAGACTGTACACTGTAGTAGGGTTGGGTTTAATCACTAGCTTCACTACTGCACCCACATCAGGCAGGACCTGGTTGTGAGCATGATCATAGACAGTACACTGTAGTAGGGTTGGGTTTAATCACTAGCTTCGCTACTGCACCCACATCAGGCAGGACCTGGTTGTGAGCATGATTATAGACAGTACAGTGTAGTAGGGTTGGGTTTAATCACTAGCTTCGCTACTGCACCCACATCAGGCAGGACCTGGTTGTGAGCATGATCATAGACAGTACACTGTAGTAGGGTTGGGTTTAATCACTAGCTTCGCTACTGCACCCACATCAGGCAGGACCTGGTTGTGAGCATGATCATAGACAGTACACTGTAGTAGGGTTGGGTTTAATCACTAGCTTCGCTACTGCACCCACATCAGGCAGGACCTGGTTGTGAGCATGATCATAGACAGTACACTGTAGTAGGGTTGGGTTTAATCACTAGCTTCGCTACTGCACCCACATCAGGCAGGACCTGGTTGTGAGCATGATCATAGACTGTACACTGTAGTAGGGTTGGGTTTAATCACTAGCTTCGCTACTGCACCCACATCAGGCAGGACCTGGTTGTGAGCATGATCATAGACAGTACACTGTAGTAGGGTTGGGTTTAATCACTAGCTTCACTACTGCACCCACATCAGGCAGGACCTGGTTGTGAGCATGATCATAGACTGTACACTGTAGTAGGGTTGGGTTTAATCACTAGCTTCGCTACTGCACCCACATCAGGCAGGACCTGGTTGTGTGCATGATCATAGACAGTACACTGTAGTAGGGTTGGGTTTAATCACTAGCTTCGCTACTGCACCCACATCAGGCAGGACCTGGTTGTGAGCATGATCATAGACTGTACACTGTAGTAGGGTTGGGTTTAATCACTAGCTTCGCTACTGCACCCACATCAGGCAGGACCTGGTTGTGTGCATGATCATAGACAGTACACTGTAGTAGGGTTGGGTTTAATCACTAGCTTCGCTACTGCACCCACATCAGGCAGGACCTGGTTGTGTGCATGATCATAGACTGTACACTGTAGTAGGGTTGGGTTTAATCACTAGCTTCGCTACTGCACCCACATCAGGCAGGACCTGGTTGTGAGCATGATCATAGACTGTACACTGTAGTAGGGTTGGGTTTAATCACTAGCTTCGCTACTGCACCCACATCAGGCAGGACCTGGTTGTGAGCATGATCATAGACAGTACACTGTAGTAGGGTTGGGTTTAATCACTAGCTTCGCTACTGCACCCACATCAGGCAGGACCTGGTTGTGAGCATGATCATAGACAGTACACTGTAGTAGGGTTGGGTTTAATCACTAGCTTCGCTACTGCACCCACATCAGGCAGGACCTGGTTGTGAGCATGATCATAGACAGTACACTGTAGTAGGGTTGGGTTTAATCACTAGCTTCCCTACTGCACCCACATCAGGCAGGACCTGGTTGTGTGCATGATCATAGACTGTACACTGTAGTAGGGTTGGGTTTAATCACTAGCCTCGCTACTGCACCCACATCAGGCAGGACCTGGTTGTGAGCATGATCATAGAGAGTACACTGTAGTAGGGTTGGGTTTAATCACTAGCTTCGCTACTGCACCCACATCAGGCAGGACCTGGTTGTGAGCATGATCATACACAGTACACTGTAGTAGGGTTGGGTTTAATCACTAGCTTCACTACTGCACCCACATCAGGCAGGACCTGGTTGTGAGCATGATCATAGACAGTACACTGTAGTAGGGTTGGGTTTAATCACTAGCTTCGCTACTGCACCCACATCAGGCAGGACCTGGTTGTGAGCATGATCATAGACTGTACACTGTAGTAGGGTTGGGTTTAATCACTAGCTTCGCTACTGCACCCACATCAGGCAGGACCTGGTTGTGAGCATGATCATAGACAGTACACTGTAGTAGGGTTGGGTTTAATCACTAGCTTCGCTACTGCACCCACATCAGGCAGGACCTGGTTGTGAGCATGATCATAGACTGTACACTGTAGTAGGGTTGGGTTTAATCACTAGCTTCGCTACTGCACCCACATCAGGCAGGACCTGGTTGTGAGCATGATCATAGACAGTACACTGTAGTAGGGTTGGGTTTAATCACTAGCTTCACTACTGCACCCACATCAGGCAGGACCTGGTTGTGAGCATGATCATAGACTGTACACTGTAGTAGGGTTGGGTTTAATCACTAGCTTCGCTACTGCACCCACATCAGGCAGGACCTGGTTGTGAGCATGATCATAGACTGTACACTGTAGTAGGGTTGGGTTTAATCACTAGCTTCGCGGGACAAGCAAACAGTTCTGAAATGTACAATAATCTTACCTGGAGTGATTTTGGAAGGGAAGTAACTCTGTAATTTCAAGAAATATGTTTTTGTCTTTCCACCCCATACCTTTCAGATGTCCTGTAATTTCAAGAAATTATGTTTTTACTGTTGAAATATAATATAACTTTAAGAGAGAGAGAGATTATTTTTGTGTCATATGCACAAGCGGTCATGATACAGACATTTGACATAATAAGGGTTCAAAAAAAAAGCTTGTATATCCAGCCTAATCAGGCTTATGAGACAAATTAAAATACATGTGTATTCATTGTGAAATATTAATAATAATTTAAAAAGTGAAGAAGAAAAAAATTAATAACCGAAATAAACAAAATAGATGTAACAATGACATCACAATGGTCTGCAATGTAGATATTGCTTGATCTCACCTAAGCGATATCTCCTGTGGGAGCCAGTTTTGGATGATAAATATATATTATTTGCAGAATGTACCAAGTATTCTTCATATTTCTGCATTTGGTTCAGACATGGAGCTGATGCCACCTTTTCAGTGTTCTCAGTATTTGTCATTGTACCTTCGTTGTGTTGCAGGTCGTTTAGTAAACACATTAGGGCAGCATAAAGGACCTATTTTTGCTCTCAAGTGGAATAAGCGAGGGAACTACATTTTAAGTGCAGGTGTAGATAAGGTGAGTGATAACAAGCTAAGTCCAGGAATACCTGTTTATGGTGATTGTTAACAAGCTAAATCCAATAACCTGTTTAGGCTGTGGGAAATCTCCAGCTTCAGCTTAGTATTGAGTGTGTTGCCTGTGTGGTCAGAGGGGGGACACTGGAAGCTGGTGACAACACGCTCCCTGGAACCATGCTGTAGGCCACAACATCTTCATCACAAATTATGGGTGTGTTGCCTGTGTGGTCAGAGGGGGGACACTGGAAGCTGGTGACAACATGCTCCCTGGAACCATGCTGTAGGCCCTAACATCTTCATCACAAATTATGGGTGTGTTGCCTGTGTGGTCAGAGGGGGGACACTGGAAGCTGGTGACAACACGCTCCCTGGAACCATGCTGTAGGCCACAACATCTTCATCACAAATTATGGGTGTGTTGCCTGTGTGGTCAGAGGGGGGACACTGGAAGCTGGTGACAACACGCTCCCTGGAACCATGCTGTAGGCCCTAACATCTTCATCACAAATTATGGGTGTGTTGCCTGTGTGGTCAGAGGGGGGACACTGGAAGCTGGTGACAACATGCTCCCTGGAACCATGCTGTAGGCCACAACATCTTCATCACAAATTATGGGTGTGTTGCCTGTGTGGTCAGAGGGGGGACACTGGAAGCTGGTGACAACATGCTCCCTGGAACCCTGCTGTAGGCCCTAACATCTTCATCACAAATTATGGGTGTGTTGCCTGTGTGGTCAGAGGGGGGACACTGGAAGCTGGTGACAACACGCTCCCTGGAACCATGCTGTAGGCCACAACATCTTCAACATTATTGGTGTGGTGAAGGGAAAAAATAAATAATCTGACAAAAGATTTATTCTCATGCATCACTGTTGACTTCAACTGAATCAGGGGACAAACTGACCCAAGTTTCCTTCGGATGGGTGTGGCAGTCTTTGTGACCTGTGTTGGACTTGATTAACAGATTGGACAGATTAACAGCCTCCTGCACGTAGTGGTAGGACATGCCACCTGCTGTAGTGGTACACTCAGCTAGTCTGATATTCTGAGCTTTGAAAAACAACCACATCTGGATTCCATGAAAATAGTTGGAAGGCAAACAGCATGTGTTTCTCCCCAACTGGTGCTGGTGCATAGGGTTACGTGTTGTAAATAGTTGTACAGAAGATGGTATGTGGGTATTCCAGCTGTTGCCACGCATGTTTTCTGCTGTGGGTGTCAACAATGATGTTGTTCCTACTCTGTTGCTGCTCTCTAGATATTCTTAACAAATGCAAGACAAGTAGCACTTCTATCCGATGTCAGCTGGGAAGTTTAAGTGCAAAATCCCTACTATCATTATTTTTCTGAAAAAGACACACTGATTGACCTCTTTTGCAATTGCCCGGAATGTGATATATGCAGATGATGATTTGTTTGTTTGTTTAATGCCGCACTCAGCAATATTCCAGCTATGAGATGGCTGTCTGTAAATAATCGAGTCTGGACCAAACAATCCTGTGACTGATATCATGAGCTTTGATTTACACAATTGGGATACAATGACATGCATGAACCGAGTCAGCGAGCCTGACCACCCAATCTTGTTGGTCGCCTCCTACAACAAGCGGTTGTTGCTGAGGACCGATTCTGCCCCGGGCCTTCATGGGTCTACATGCAGATGAAGCAGCCCCAGTTGACAGGAGGATTGTCTGGATGTTTTTCTCCCCTATACTTCTGAAGTCACTCCTTGCAATTGACTGATGGCCGGCCAACATGTCCTAAGCATGGTGTTTATTTTGGGAATGATGTGGAAGAATGTCTATGAGAAAACATACAACTTTATGGATAGCAACTTCCACAGTCATATAATGCTTGGGGATATAGTCAATACCTCTTCTGTCTGTCTGTCTGTCCGTCCGTCCGTCTGTCAGTCTGTAATCTTCTTTTTTTTCTGGAGTGTAACTCGAAATCTTTGGGGTATTTTTTTTCAACAAAACTTGACAGTTATAGCAAACAGATCCAGAAGTGGTTACTTGCTATTTGCAGATTTGGGACATTTTTATTTTTCTCAGTTTTGAAACAATTTGGACTTCAGTCTCAAAGTGAAGGGGGCAGGGGAGGGGTAGGGTAGGTGTCGTTTCCGGAGCAGAACTAAAACACTTTTCAACATTTTTCATCCAACATTGATAGAAATCACACTGGACACACTGAGCATAAGTGGTTACCTGCGTGAGCAGCCTTCCAATAGTGATAGAAATCACACTGGGCACACTGAGCATAAGTGGTTACCTGCGTGAGCAGCCTGCCAATAGTGATAGAAATCACACTGGGCACACTGAGCATAAGTGGTTACCTGCGTGAGCAGCCTTCCAATAGTGATAGACATCACACTGGACACACTGAGCATAAGTGATTACCTGCGTGAGCAGGCTTCCAATAGTGATAGAAATCACACTGGACACACTGAGCATAAGTGGTTACCTGCGTGAGCAGGCTTTCAATAGTGATAGAAATCACACTGGACACACTGAGCATAAGTGGTTACCCGCGTGAGCAGCCTTCCAATAGTGATAGAAATCACACTGGGCACACTGAGCATAAGTGGTTACCTGCGTGAGCAGCCTTCCAATAGTGATAGAAATCACACTGGGCACACTGAGCATAAGTGGTTACCTGCGTGAGCAGCCTTCCAATAGTGATAGAAATCACACTGGACACACTGAGCATAAGTGATTACCTGCGTGAGCAGGCTTCCAATAGTGATAGAAATCACACTGGACACACTGAGCATAAGTGGTTACCTGCGTGAGCAGGCTTCCAATAGTGATAGAAATCACACTGGACACACTGAGCATAAGTGGTTACCTGCGTGAGCAGGCTTCCAATAGTGATAGAAATCACACTGGACACACTGAGCATAAGTGGTTACCTGCGTGAGCAGCCTTCCAATAGTGATAGGATGTGGAAGTGTAACGAAGTGTGTATAGTTGAGGGTTCATTCTAGGAATTTTCTGACAGTGGCCCTTAATGTGAAAATTTCAAATATTCCAGAGTGAGAGACTGAGTTAAAATTTAACGTCACATCGGCATTATTTCAGCCTTATAGCGACCAAATATTCCAGAGGTACACAGGGTTTCCCCTGACGCAGAATTCTTGCGTATATGACTCTCTATTAAGGAAAAATACGTCCAGAAATAAATGACTGCGTCATGACTGACGCAATTTCCAATTATCTATGTTGTTGTTTACCAGCTTTGGAATGAAAATATTACAACTACTCACCTGAACTTAATTTATAAACATTTTCTGAAGACAATATATGCAAACATCTTAAAATTTACGTCTAGTTTTTAATTAATCGTCGTTTTTAGAAGTAACATAACTTCGCTTGACAGCACTGCCATGGGCGAATTTGCGTAGCCTGTCATATGACCAGATTTTTCTCTCGTTTTAAAACAAACGCTAAAATCAGAACAGCCGGGGGCTTTACATATTGTTCATGACAGCCTGAAATGAGACTGAAGAAAAGTCTGTGTGTATTATACACGAGAGATATTTTTTTCAGGATTTAATTGCCCATAATTAGTGGTGTGTATTATACACGAATAAATATGGTATATACGAAATGTAAAGCTTTGGGCGTGTTTGTTGTTGCTAATTATTCAACCAGAAAATATTACGAGTGTTCACAATTCTTCAGTTCAACTTCACTGTTGATAGATAATACAAGATAACTAGATAAAAGATGTAAATGAGTTAGTGGTATTAAATTATAATCTGACATGAAATGTATTTTAATATCCATCCATGATTAAATATTATGTCTCACAGTTGAGACTGATGTTATTTATTCATACTGTATTAGTGTCACTGTAAATTGTTTCATGAGCTGTGAACTAATTCAAGATTGTGAAAAGATAAAACCAACAAACTTTGTTTTTCATTCATATATCCTTTATTTCTCTGTAGTACAATCAGCTTAGAACATTAATTAGCACTTGTTAACTTAAACTAAAGACATATTATATTTAAAAGATACTTAACTTTAAGTGTAACATTAACAGTGAACACTTTAAATTTCATTAATCATACAATAAAACATTTGACTCTCAAACAATATTTTTGACTCCCAAAAATTCATAGGCTGAGTCAAGGTGACTCTCAGATATTGGAGTCTAGGGGGAACCCTTGGTACACCCATACAGCACAATTGTATTTGAAAATGTGGGCCTTTTTTCAAATTTAGGGGCTAAAAAGCACAAGGCCCCAACCTATAATTATCCCTGATAGTGTGTGACTGTATTGTTGTATTTTCCAGACAACGATTATCTGGGATGCCAGTTCAGGGAACAGCACTCAACAGTTCGCATTTCACTCAGGTAAGAACAGAACAGAACAGGACGGGCCGGACTGACTGTATGGTGTATGTACAGTTCCTCAAGTCGGGGGTGAAGGTCAAGGGGCCGTTGCTGTATCTTATTGTACATCAACGTTTGGTCAGGATGACGATGACGATGACGATGCTGGTACCAAATGCTGACACACAAGTACACTGAGACAACTCTCAGTATTCTCTTCTGTTTGAAGTGAAAAACACTTGAACTTCAAGTAATTTTTGATGCAGCTCTTTGAAAATTTAAGAGAAACAAAACTCCAAATTTGAAAGTATTGAAATATGGATTGGCTTTTTCTTCGCGGATTTAACATTTGCTTATGAGGCAAAAAAGATTTAAATAGTGTTGCTTCTCCGGCACCGCCCGCATCGTCATAAAATCTGTTGTACTTTTTGTTTTTAGTTCCCATTTTTAAAAAGAAATGAAAAAATCCTAACACTTAAAAACAGTGTGATCCAATATAGCACACAGTTACTGCGCACTGCTTTACAGTGCATCTTGTGTCATGGTAATGATGGCAGTAGGAGTTTGTATGCTTGTTTATGTAGGGAGGTCCTTTCCCAGGTTGATGGTACAAAACTGTTTGTTTGTTTACGTACTAGTTTGAACAAGCAAACAAGTAAATATAAACAAACCAAAAAACGCCGACCGGACTGTTTTCAAAAGTCATTGCCTGAGAACCAATTCTTTCATTTTTTCAAGCCCTATGGACAAGCCAGTACCCATGTTTATATGTACAGGGTGACGACAGTCGTAAGCCTATGTTAAGGTATAGGAGTTATGATCGTCTTAGCGTTAAGATAGCGTTGTACAACCGCACCCTGGTCACCACTGACTTTGTTGTATCTTTCAGCCCCTGCATTAGATGTAGACTGGCAGAGCAACACCAGCTTCGCATCCTGTTCTACAGACCAGTGCATCCATGTCTGTCGACTTGGCTCCGACAGACCCACAAAGACATTCCAAGGACACACAGTGAGTGCAACAGACTCCCTTTGTGACTCCCAGGTTCTACCCCATGTTGCAGACAGGTACACCAGTGGGACTGACAGGTTTACCTCACAGTGTATTGGAATCTTCCAGAATACAAATTTGATCTTTTTATCCCCTTGGCATATCATGCAGGGGGATATTGTCGATGCCTCGTCCGTCAGACTGTCCATCCATATTCATTTCATTTCTAGAGCACAACTCGAAAATTGTTCAGTATTTTTCAATGGCAGATTATATCAAACCGATCCTGAAGTGGTGCCTTTTGCTATTTGCGGATTTTGGGCCTTTTTTATTTTTTTTCTGTGTCCAAGGAGACAGTTTGGACTTACTCTCAAAGGTGTGTAGAAGTTGAATTGGTGCCTTTTGCTATTTTGGAATTTAAGATATTTTCTTGAAAAAATTCCTGTTTCCATGGCAACAACCTAACAGAAATACAAAGTTCTGAATCCCTATTCCATGGTACTGTTTTGATAGTTCAATAACGAGTACTCTTGTATACAGACAGACAGATTAGATAGAAATTCTCTCATCAAGTTGGACTTACTGTGACAGTCAGATGATTTGTTCTTTCAAATTTGTCTTTTGTTTGTTTAATCTGCAAAATGGGGAGTTACCCACTGGACTTGGTGTGGTGTAGGTGAAGACAGTTTCCTTAAGATATACTCCCAGTTCTTGCCTGGAACACCAATGATGACAACTTGGTAGCCGTACAGAGTACCAGTGCTGATACCAACATGGATGTAGCTGATGGTGTTATAGAATATTGTTTTTGAATTATCTTTTGTCATTTATCATGATTCATATAACAGTGTTAGTCTTAGTTTATGGTGTTATAACAGTATATTAAAACCTTGTCCTGTTTTGAAGTCTTATAACATTATTTTGCGTTTGTTGTCGTGTTTTGGAGTGGTATAACAGTATTTGTAAGATATTGTTGTGTTTTGGAGTGGTATAACAGTATTTGTAAGATATTGTTGTGTTTTGGAGTGGTATAACAGTATTTGTAAGATATTGTTGTGTTTTGGAGTGGTATAACAGTATTTGTAAGATATTGTTGTGTTTTGGAGTGGTATTACAGTATTTAATGTAAATTGTCGTGTTTTGGAGTGGTATTACAGTATTTTATGTTTATTGTCGTGTTTTTGACAGGTATAACAGTATTTGTAAGATATTGCTGTGTTTTGGAGTGGTATAACAGTATTTGTCAGATATTGCTGTGTTTTGGAGTGGTATAACAGTATTTTACGTATGTTGTCATATCCATTAAGGTTATTATGACACGTACATTCCTGCATCATACACTTACCTTAAACACCAATGATGACAACTTGGTAGCCGTACAGAGTACCAGTGCTGATACCAACATGGATGTAGCTGATGGTGTTATAGAATATTGTTTTGAACCTCATTCACCTGTCATGATTCGTAGATTCTCTGTTTGGTGTTGATGGTATATTACGTTCCAGTCAATTTGACATGTGTCATATATCTTGAGATCAGTGGCTTTACAGCAATTCTCAATTGTGTTGTATTTCTGACGGTGTTACGAAATATCTTTTGTCATTTATCAAGATTCATATAATAGTGTTTTTTATAGTTTATAGTGTTATAACAGGATGTTACATGTCTTGTTCAGTTTTGGAGTGATATTACAGTAAATTACATATCTTGTCTTGTTGTGCAGTGGTATGACAGTAAATTACATATCTTGTCTTGTTGTGCAGTGGTATGACAGTATTTTACATGTCTTGTCCTGTTTTGGAGGAGTATTACAGTATTTTACGTATATATTGTTGTATTTTTCGATTGGTAATGCAGTGTCTTACGTACATTGTGTTTTGGAGAATCTTTTAGTATTTCTCAGATAATGTGGTATAACAGTATTTTACATATATTGTCTTGCCAGGTTATTATGACAGATACATTCCTGCATCATACACTTACCTTAAAGTTAGTTAAACACCAATGATGACAACTTGGTAGCCGTACAGAGTACCAGTGCTGATACCAACATGGATGTAGCTGAAGGTGTTACGAAATATCTTTTGTCATTTATCATGATTCATATAATAGTGTTTTTCATAGTTTATAGTGTAATAACAATATGTTACATATCTTGTCCAGTTTTGGAGTGGTATTACAGTAAATTACGTATCTTGACTTATTGTGCAGAGGAATGACAGTATTTTACATATCTTGTCCAGTTTTGGAGTGGTATTACAGTACATTACTTATCTTGTCTTGTTGTGCAGTGGTATAAGAGTATTTTACATATATTTTCTTGCCAGGTTATTATGACAGATACATACACCTACCTTAAACACCAATGATGACAACATGGTAGCCGTACAGAGTACCAGTGCTGATACCAACATGGATGTAGCTGATGGTGTTATAGAATATTGTTTTGAACCTCATTCACCTGTCATGATTCGTAGATTCTCTGTTTGGTGTTGATGGTATATTACGTTCCAGTCTGTTTGACATGTGTCATATATCTTGAGATCAGTGGCTTTACAGCAATTCTCAATTGTGTTGTATTTCTGACAGTGTTACGAAATATCTTTTGTCATTTATCAAGATTCATATAATAGTGTTTTTCATAGTTTATAGTGTTATAACAGGATGTTACATGTCTTGTTCAGTTTTGGAGTGATATTACAGTAAATTACATATCTTGTCTTGTTGTGCAGTGGTATTACAGTAAATTACATATCTTGTCTTGTTGTGCAGTGGTATGACAGTATTTTACATGTCTTGTCCTGTTTTGGAGGAGTATTACAGTATTTTACGTATATATTGTTGTGTTTTTTGATTGGTATTGCAGTGTCTTACGTACATTGTGTTTTGGAGCTTTTTTTTAGTATTTGTCAGATAATGTAATGTTTTGGGGTGGTATAACAGTATTTGTCAGATAATGTAATGTTTTGGGGTGGTATAACAGTATTTGTTCCGGGAAAGCGGGGAGCGGGGGACATAGTATTCACGACCGTCCGTACGTCCATCCGTACGTCCCACCTGTTTGTTGCCGCGATATCTCAAGAACTAAACACTGGATTGTCTTCATATTTGGAACTATGGTGTATATACAGACTCAGCAGACACCAGTGGGTTTTGGTGACCTTGACCCCATCTTCAAGGTCACAGCAGGCAAATCTGCTTTTTGAGTTGGAAAACGATGTTGTCGCGATATCTCAAGAACTAAACACTGGATTGTCTTCATATTTGGTACTATGGTGTATATACAGACTCCGCAGACACCAGAGGGTTTTGGTGACCTTGACCCCATCTTCAAGGTCACAGCAGGCAAATCTGCTTTTTGAGTTGGAAAACGGTGTTGCCGCGATATCTCAAGAACTAAACACTGGATTGTCTTCATATTTGGTACTATGGTGTATATACAGACTCCGCAGACACCAGTCGATTTTGGTGAACTTAACTTAATTTTCAAGGTCACAGCAGGCAAAACTGTTATTCGAGATGGAAAACAGTGTTGCTGCGATATCTCAAGAACTAATTTCTGGATTCCTTCATGTTTGATGATCAGACATGTTTCTATATGAGCAGCAATGAGCCGATTTGATTTGCAGGAATTTGGGTAATTATTTCTAATGGTACGACAAATAGTTCCATGGAGGTATCTAACACAGAAAATAATATTATTCAAAAGGAATAAAATATTTGGACATGTTATTATGGGTTATTATGACAGATACATTCCTGCATCATACACTTACCTTGAACACCAATGATGACAACTTGGTAGCCGTACAGAGTACCAGTGCTGATACCAACATGGATGTAGCTGATGGTGTTAAAAAAAAGGGTTTATAGTGGATGATTAATGAAGTGAAATATATTTGAAAGCCAGTTTGATAAGACCATTGTTACCTCTGTCTTGTTTGTTTCAGAATGAGGTGAACGCGATCAAGTGGGACCCCCAAGGGCAGCTGCTGGCGTCGTGTTCGGATGATATGACATTAAAAGTGAGAACATGTTCACCATGTTAGTAGCAGGCCGTGCTTGCACACACTCCTGTTTGTGGTAGGAGTGGACTGAACCAGTACCCACCGCTTGTGGTGGGAGCGGACTGAACCAGTACCCACTGCTTGTGGTGGGAGGGGACTGAACCAGTACTCACTGTTTGTGCTGGGAGTGGACTGAACCAGTACCCACCGCTTTTGGTGGGAGTGGACTGAACCAGTACCCACCGCTTGTGGTGGGAGTGGACTGAACCAGTAACCACCGCTTGTGCTGGGAGTGGACTGAACCAGTACCCACTGCTGGTGGAAGGAGTGGACTGAACCAGTACTCACTGCTTGTGGGAGTGGACTGAACCAGTACCCACTGCTTGTGGAAGTCGACTGAACCAGTACTCACTGCTTGTGGAAGTCGACTGAACCAGTACCCACTGCTTGTGGAAGTCGACTGAACCAGTACCCACTGCTTGTGGAAGTGGACTGAACCAGTACTCACTACTTGTGGAAGTCGACTGAACCAGTACTCATTGCTTGTGGAAGTCGACTGAACCAGTACTCACTGCTGGTGGTAGGAGTGGACTGAACCAGTATCCACTGCTTGTGGTGGGAGTGGACTGAACCAGTACCCACTGCTTGTGGTAGGAGTGGACTGAACCAGTACCCACTGCTTGTGGTGGGAGTGGCCTGAACCAGTACCCACTGCTTGTGGTGGAAGTCGACTGAACCAGTACCCACTGCTTGTGGTAGGAGTGGACTGAACCAGTACCCACTGCTGGTGGTGGGAGTGGACTGAACCAGTACCCACTGCTTGTGGTGGGAGTGGACTGAACCAGTACCCACTGCTTGTGGTGGGAGTGGACTGAACCAGTACCCACTGCTTGTGGTGGGAGTGGACGGAACCAGTACCCACTGCTGGTGGTGGGAGTGGACTGAACCAGTACCCACTGCTTGTAGTTGGAGTTTGACAACAAATATGGTTGTGTTCTGTTGCAGATCTGGAGTATGAAGCAGGACACGTGTGTGTATGATTTACAAGCTCACAACAAGGAGATCTACACGATCAAGTGGAGTCCCACAGGACCAGGCACCAACAACCCCAGTGCTCCGTTAATCTTAGCCAGGTGAGTGAACCAACCACCCTAGTGCTCCGTTAATCTTAGCCAGGTGAGTGAACCAATCACCCTAGTGCTCCGTTAATCTTAGCCAGGTGAGTGAACCAACCACCCTAGTGCTCCGTTAATCTTAGCCAGGTGAGTGAACCAACCACCCCAGTGCTCCGTTAATCTTAGCCAGGTGAGTGAACCAACCACCCTAGTGCTCCGTTAATCTTAGCCAGGTGAGTGAACCAACCACCCTAGTGCTCCGTTAATCTTAGCCAGGTGAGTGAACCAACCACCCTAGTGCTCCGTTAATCTTAGCCAGCTGAGTGAAACAACCACCCTAGTGCTCCGTTAATCTTAGCCAGGTGAGTGAACCAACCACCCTAATGCTCCGTTAATCTTAACCAGGTGAGTGAACCAACCACCCTAATGCTCCGTTAATCTTAACCAGGTGAGTGAACCAACCACCCTAGTGCTCCGTTAATCTTAACCAGGTGAGTGAACCAACCACCCTAATGCTCCGTTAATCTTAACCAGGTGAGTGAACCAACCACCCTAGTGCTCCGTTAATCTTAACCAGGTGAGTGAACCAACCACCCTATTGCTCCGTTAATCTTAACCAGGTGAGTGAACCAACCACCCTAGTGCTCCGTTAATCTTAACCAGGTGAGTGAACCAACCACCCTAATGCTCCGTTAATCTTAACCAGGTGAGTGAACCAACCACCCTAGTGCTCCGTTAATCTTAACCAGGTGAGTGAACCAACCACCCTAATGCTCCGTTAATCTTAACCAGGTGAGTGAACCAACCACCCTAGTGCTCCGTTAATCTTAACCAGGTGAGTGAACCAACCACCCTAATGCTCCGTTAATCTTAGCCAGCTGAGTGAACCAACCACCCTAATGCTCCGTTAATCTTAGCCAGCTGAGTGAAACAACCACCCTAGTGCTCCGTTAACCTTAGCCAGGTGAGTGAACCAACCACCCTAATGCTCCGTTAATCTTAGCCAGGTGAGTGAACCAACCACCCTAGTGCTCCGTTAATCTTAGCCAGCTGAGTGAAACAACCACCCTAGTGCTCCGTTAATCTTAGCCAGGTGAGTGAACCAACCACCCTAATGCTCCGTTAATCTTAACCAGGTGAGTGAACCAACCACCCTAGTGCTCCGTTAATCTTAACCAGGTGAGTGAACCAACCACCCTAGTGCTCCATTAATCTTAACCAGGTGAGTGAACCAACCACCCTAATGCTCCGTTAATCTTAACCAGGTGAGTGAACCAACCACCCTAATGCTCCGTTAATCTTAACCAGGTGAGTGAACCAACCACCCTAATGCTCCATTAATCTTAACCAGGTGAGTGAACCAACCACCCTAGTGCTCCGTTAATCTTAACCAGGTGAGTGAACCAACCACCCTAATGCTCCGTTAATCTTAGCCAGGTGAGTGAACCAACCACCCAAGAGCTTCGTTAACCTTGGCGAGCCATTGCCAATACTGGTCAAGTTGACAGCACCAGTAGAATGGATGGATTCCGTTGTGAATGATCATGTTTTCACTTGATACCTTCGTGGTTATTTTAATCTGTTTTCATTAAGACAGATTCAAATAATCACCATTGGGGAAAACATATTTAGTATTCCTCCTTAATGATTGCGAGAATATTTGACATGGCCACTAAAGACCAGACTGAGACAAACACTTATGAACAGTGAGACTGGTCAAGGGGAGATAATCCTGACAGGTTAAGTCTGTAAGACGTTTTGCCCAGTGCTGACAACTTGGTAGCCGTACAGAGTGCCAGTGCTGATGTACATGGATGTAGCTGAGGGGGCAGTTGTAGTTAGTGTTTTGTAGATGCCTCTTCAGTTGTCTTCCCAGTCTCTCTGGAGTATCAATAGTTTGCCTTTTTTCAGTTTGCAATGTTTGTCACTATGGAGGTGGTGGATTTCGTTTTCGTAGCACAATTGGAAAACTGTCAAATACTTTTCATTCAAACCTGTTACATGTATTAACCAAGGGCTGAAGTGATGTCTTTTGCTATTTAGGTCATTTGAAAATTTCGGAAAGAAACTTGTGATTGAGTCGCCACCCTTGGCAACTGGGATTTCCCACACAGTAAAAATGAAAAGGTGAAGTCCAATGTAGCCCAATCAAAGTTGGTACCTTGTGGATGCCCATGCTGACTGTCCTCTGTGTGTCTGTTCCAGTGCTTCGTTTGACTCGACGGTGCGGTTATGGGAGGTGGATCGAGGCACATGTCTCCACACCCTGACTCAGCACCAGGAGCCTGTCTACAGCGTAGCCTTCAGTCCAGACGGCAGGTACCTGGCCAGCGGATCCTTCGACAAGTGTGTTCACATATGGAATGTGCAGGTAGGTACTCCCCTCTCTGGCAGTCGGGCAGAACATCAGGCTAAATGGATCCGTGGTCAGGCTCAGTGACTTGCTTAGTTGCATGTCGTTATATCCCAATTGTGTAGATCGAGGCTCATGATGACAATCACTGGACTGTCTGGTCAAACTCAATTATTTACAGACCGCCGTCATATAGCTGGAATATTGCTGAGTGTGGCCTGGAGCAAAGCCTGCGATGCCCAGGTACTTCGCCAGTCTCTGTCTATATTGCCACAGGGGGGAAGGGTGGCCCAGTCGTCTAAGGCGCAGCGATTCGCTGTGCAGAGTTGCAGAGAAACCTATGATTGTGGGTTGTAATCCCGGTTCACCGCGATTATGTTTCTAGGTTTGTCAGCACCATACCCGTGCGTCACTGAACTGGTAAACATCTGAGACCTGCATCACTTTGGGCTTTCCTCCGACATTAAGCTGACACGCCGCGATATAACTGGAATACTGTTTAAAGCGGCGTTAATCCCAACGCACTCACTCACTCACTCACTCACTCACTATATTGCAACAGAGAGTTATGTGTTCTGTTATCAAGTGATCAACTATTTGTGTACGAGTGGGCTCACTGTAATATTCCTGGATGTGGAGGCTAGTGGACAGGCCTATGTGATGGAAGACAATCCTTTGCATCTTTTAGTCCTATCTGTACAGTGTTCAATAACTTGAAGTGACACCAATGATGACAACTTGGTAGCCGTACAGAGTACCAGTGCTGATACCAACATGGATGTAGCTGATGGTGTTGTAATGAGATCATATAGATGAACCATGAACCTGTGTTTCAACTCTAATGCTCAACTATTTTATTACAGAACGGCACGCTAGTAAATAGTTATCGAGGAACAGGGGGAATATTTGAGGTTTGCTGGAATCACCGAGGAGACAAAGTTGGTGCTAGTGCATCAGATGGCTCAGTAAGTAGACTGTCTTTAATTCTTGTACACCTTGATGGTAGAAATATATTATTTTTGTGCAAAATGTTTGAACAAGGTGTCTTAGATGTCAGCTTTGTGCAGAATAACTTGGTGTGATGTAGTGCTAGACTGTATTGTCAGTCAGGGTAGTGGGCGATACACCGGTGTGCAGTAGTGTTAGACTGTGTATTGTCAGTCAGGGTGGTGGGCGATACACCGGTGTGCTGTAGTGCTAGACTGTGTATTGTCAGTCAGGGTGGTGGGCGATACACCGGTGTGCTGTAGTGCTAGACTGTGTATTGTCAGTCAGGGTGGTGGGACGAGACACCGGTGTGCTGTAGTGCTAGACTGTGTATTGTCAGTCATGGTGGTTGGAGGAGACACCGGTGTGCTGTAGTGCTAGAATGTGTATGGTCAGTCAGGATGGTGGGCGATACACCGGTGTGCTGTAGTGCTAGACTGTGTATTGTCAGTCAGGGTGGTGGGCGATACACCGGTGTGCTGTAGTGCTAGACTGTTTATTGTCAGTCAGGGTGGTGGGACGAGACACCGGTGTGCTGTAGTGTTAGACTGTGTATTGTTAGTCAGGGTGGTGGGCGATACACCGGTGTGCTGTAGTGCTAGACTGTGTATTGTCAGTCAGGGTGGTGGGCGATACACCGGTGTGCTGTAGTGCTAGACTGTGTATTGTCAGTCAGGGTGGTGGGACGAGACACCGGTGTGCTGTAGTGTTAGACTGTGTATTGTCAGTCAGGGTGGTGGGCGATACACCGGTGTGCTGTAGTGCTAGACTGTGTATTGTCAGTCAGGGTGGTGGGCGATACACCGGTGTGCTGTAGTGTTAGACTGTGTATTGTTAGTCAGGGTGGTGGGCGATACACCGGTGTGCTGTAGTGCTAGACTGTGTATTGTCAGTCAGGGTGGTGGGCGATACACCGGTGTGCTGTAGTGTTAGACTGTGTATTGTTAGTCAGGGTGGTGGGCGATACACCGGTGTGCTGTAGTGCTAGACTGTGTATTGTCAGTCAGGGTGGTGGGCGATACACCGGTGTGCTGTAGTGTTAGACTGTGTATTGTCAGTCAGGGTGGTGGGCGATACACCGGTGTGCTGTAGTGCTAGACTGTGTATTGTCAGTCAGGGTGGTGGGACGAGACACCGGTGTGCTGTAGTGTTAGACTGTGTATTGTCAGTCAGGGTGGTGGGCGATACACCGGTGTGCTGTAGTGCTAGACTGTGTATTGTCAGTCAGGGTGGTGGGACGAGACACCGGTGTGCTGTAGTGCTAGACTGTGTATTGTCAGTCAGGGTGGTGGGCGATACACCGGTGTGCTGTAGTGCTAGACTGTGTATTGTCAGTCAGGGTGATGGGACGAGACACCGGTGTGCAGTAGTGCTAGACTGTGTATTGTCAGTCAGGATGGTGGGAGGAGACACCGGTGTGCTGTAGTGCTAGACTGTGTATTGTCAGTCATGGTGGTGGGCGATACACCAGTGTGCTGTAGTGCTAGACTGTTTATTGTCAGTCATGTTGGTGGGAGGAGACACCGGTGTGCTGTAGTGCTAGACTTTGTATTGTCAGTCATGGTGGTTGGCGATACACCGGTGTGCTGTAGTGCTAGACTGTGTATTGTCAGTCAGGGTGGTGGGAGGAGACACCGGTGTGCTGTAGTGCTAGACTGTGTATTGTCAGTCAGGGTGGTGGGACGAGACACCGGTGTGCTGTAGTGCTAGACTGTGTATTGTCAGTCATGGTAGTGGGCGATACACTGGTGTGCTGTAGTGCTAGACTGTGTATTGTCAGTCAGGTGGGTTGGACGAGACACCGGTGTGCTGTAGTGCTAGTGGACACCAGAAAAAGGCTTCACGCATTGTACCCATGTCGGGATTCGAACCAGGGTCTTTGGCGCGACACGCAAACGCTTTAACCACTAGGCTACCCGACCGCCCCGTGTTGTGTCAATCGTGGACGATACACCGGTTGCATCATGATGTTCTTCTTCCCGAGTATCCATCAATGTCACCCACTGAGTAAAAAATATCAAATCTGACCGTAAATGTTGAACCCCACAAACACTTAGAAGTGTGAACGTAAATACTTTCTTCCACTGTGCCATAGCTGACACTGACACACACTCTACTGAATAGCAAGCCTTATAAATGCAGTTGGTATAGTTATCTCCCTTCTAGTGCTTGTGCTAAGTCGAACAATATGATTGCAGTTATACTGCAGATTTTTGTACAAAATGTTATGAAATGTGGTACATGTGTGGATAATAGTGGGGTTTAACATGTATGTTCCATCAATATTTTATGTTTTGACCTTGTTTAGCCATACTCATTATTTCTCTAAAAAAGTGTTTTTGCATCTGTGAACGTCTTTATCACAGCAAAGCATTTGCGGGGTTATTAAAATGGACACCGTCTGTCAAGATTTCATTTCCAAAGCAGATCTTAGAATTTTTCTTCAAGAAATTTGGTACCTAGATAGGTCTAGTGGCTAACTGGTGCCTTTTGATAGCTTGGAGTTTAAAAAACAAAATACTTTTCAAGTTTCTGTTGAGTCAACTTTGACTGAAAATGATGGTTGTGCTTGTTTAAGTAGCATCTCTTGAAAACCGTACTTAAGTAAACTTGGTACATTGATAGGCCTAGAGGTGAACTGGTGCTTTTTAATAGTTTGCTTTTTTTTCTACATTTATTTTTCAAGTTTCCATGACAACAACTTGGGGGTAGTGCTTGTTTTTCAGAGCAGATCTTGTACAATATTTCTTCACCAAACTTGGCACAAAGATAGGTCACTAAATAGGTCCCATTATTTGTGTTGCAGGTGTTTGTACTCGACTTGAGGAAGTAGACTGGAAGGGAGAACCATGTGATTAGCTACCATCTTTACAGTGCCATTATGGCAGCAGTGGGAAGGAGAGGGAGAAGGATGGCGCCACCACGGACCGATGACTCACTGACTGCTTACTGGGGAGTGGGACAAGAAGAAGCCTGCGGGGACTGGCCGAGGAGGACACCAGGTGCTCAACAGGCTTGTGTGGTGTCCAGGGGACCGGGACGTGTCACGTGATGATCACTTGTTTGCTTCCACTTGGCGCACGGCAGCTTTACCCTGACAATGTCGAGTGTGCAGGTTGGGATCACAATTGACCTTGACCTTGGTGGATGTGAGCGAAAAGCTGAAGCCATTGTCTTCCCTGGTGCCAGGTGATGTCCGGGAGTGACTGACGGCTGTGACGTCCCAGGTGACGTCCGCGAGTGGCTGACGGCTGTGGCTGTGGCTGTGGCATCCCAGGACAGACTGACTTCTGCGGCGTCCCAGGACAGACTGTCCAAGGGGCTGATGATTCCCTTCCTATAGAACAGCATCCATTCCCACCATTGAATCCTTCAAAGTGCTGTTGACATTGTTAGTTGAGTCCCAGGAAGTAGCAGTCTGACCGCCCCGATGTACGTCAACAGAGGTTAGCTAGCTCCAACACTGGGCTTCCTTTCTTTCCATTCAGTTTTCACAATGGAGCCCCAGACAGTGTTACATTGACAAGTGCTTAAAGCCTGGCTATGTGTGCGAGGAGCGTGTGTGAGAGTGAGCGTGTGAGAGGATGGTGTGAGATAGGCAACTGTACACTGCCTAACTGTGGGCTTCTGCATGAGTTGCCTATCTCTGGACGTCCTCACTTGCTTCATGAGCAGCTTTCATCATCATCTTCATCTTCACCAGAGATCCTCATTTATTCAAGCATCACAGAAACCTACTATGTTCTGATTCTCATCACCTGTTCTGTTGCATTTAGAGTTGCCTCCACACATGTTCCACCTTAGTGCTCGTTGTTTTCAGTACCGGCTTGTCAAACAATCATGCTGTTCTCATCCCCCCACTTTCTGCTACAGAATTTACAACTGATTCTTGAACATATTTCAGACAAATGACATTATTTTGATGGATGTAAAACAGATGAAATTTTTTGTTACTGGGTGAGAGCTCCGCGTGGGTTTTCTAGGTTTTCGTTTAGATCTCCGAGTGTTGGGTGGGTTTGGTTTTACGCCGCTTTTAGTAATATTCCAGCAACATCAGGGCGGGGGACACCAGAAATGGGCTTCACACATTGTACCCATGTCTGGAATCGAAACCCGGGTCTTCGGCATGACGACCGAACGCTTTAGCCACTAGGATACCCCAGCGCCCCGGGTGGCAGATAACCCCTGCCTGGCACTGTGTACTGCATCAACCTCCATTAATGAAGATGCCACAGTCAATGGAACATAGGGGGTTTGGAATACCAGATTCCCCCTGATTTTGATTCGTGAATTGTCAGCACCGTACCAGTGCTCATGGCGGTTTCACAAGAGTTACCTATGACCTGTTACTCTTGGGAGTTCCCCTGAGGTCTTCCTCTGGGGTGTTCCTCTAGGGGTTTCCTCCAGGGTCTTCGGGGCTGTTCCTCAGAGGTGTTCCTTGGGACTGTTTCTCTGGGGTCTTCATCAGGGGGGTTCCTCTGGGGTGTTCCTTCAGGGTCTTCCTTCGTGGTTTTCCTCTGGGATGCTCCCCGGGGTGGTCCTCACACATTAAGCTGACAGATATTACTGAAATACTAGTCAAAGCGGTATGAAACCCAGCTCACTCACTCACTCACTCCATTGAGGCATCTTCTGCAGCTACCATTGACAATACGAGTGGATACCTGAAGCTGATGTTACAGAATATGTTCTAAGTTATGTCCAGTTATTTGTGTTCATAGATGTGAAGATGCATTGATAACAGCTTCTGTTCTCATCTGGAGTTCCAGATTAAGCTGTAGCCCTGCAAACATCAGTGCTGTAATTTGGAAGTTAACAAGATTTTGTATTTGAAATCTTTCTTTACTGTTACAATTATGTATTCCATTGTTCTCATGGCAAGTTTGTTTCCTAGCAAGTAGGAATTGTTTAAAACGGTTATTTCTCGTATCATGTTATTTTCAGTCAATCATGAGTGATTTGTAAATTGTAAATATTACAACTAATTGTAAATTCTAATTTGATGTTTATTTTCATTGGAAACAGATGCAGAGAGATGTACTTTATATCATCTGATTTTAGATAGTTTTAAAACTTCAAGTAATCTTTTAATTCTTATGTGACATAACAGGTGACTGTAGAAATGTACATATAAGAATCATGTTTGAGAATAATGACAGCCTGATTGCTTTGTAGTTCATGTTATTATCTTCACTAACATTTCTTATTTTGATTAGATGTGGTAACTTCTGAATTGTAAACTCGAGCTTTTGGGTTCTGAAGTCATGCCAAGATACCAAAGTATGTTCGTTGCTAGGCGCTGATCGACTGAAGTGGCTTTAGCTAGTGATGGATCTGTTACCAGCTGTAGGGGCCCCCCACCAAACAAGCCTTCTTGTACTAATTATATAGTAAATGTGTTAATTTGATTTTGATATCTGTAGTTTGTGCTGTGTGATGCCGCCGCCGCCATTGTGGTACCGTTTCCTCTGTTTATGTATTAGTCCACTGTTACCATGGTTACCCATGCAGTGTTACTGTGTAAGCCTCTGAGAAGTGGCTTGGCGTTACATCTGTGCATTCGTCAACCTATATGGAGGGTAGGGGTGTAAATATGTGGTCATACAGTTGCAGGTACATGGTGACCAATAGCTGTATCTTCATTCATCTTGTACTTAATTGTTTTCTCTGAAAACCTCATCAAAATCTGCTTGTGATTATAATTTAAGAATTGTCACTTCAGAAATGTCTTTTAAAATGAATCTGTGCAGTTGGGTCCATGTATCGGAGTGTGTAAGCCAGAGTAAGAATATAGTTAAAAATAATTAAAAATTGAAATGTTTTAAGTTGACGGTTTGCTATCCCTCAAAATGTTTCATTTTTTAGTCTGAGGCAAGGTGTAATGTCCAGTACTCAGTTTGGTGTATTGCTCTTGTATAGAGTGACCAGGGTCATGGTTGTCCCTGTTGTCTGAGAAAATTTGCTGTGGATAGTTGCTTCCCTTTGGTCTACCAGGATCCTATGCTTGTTGGCTTGAATCCCAGTTCGCCCCTAATGGAAGCGTATTACTTTGAAATTTTCAACCTTCAAATGACAAGCTTCAACGATGACACATGGCATACTGCGAGAAATGTGGATGGACACATAGGTTAGGATGTAGGAAAATTTGTTTTTTAATCTTCTCTGTCTCTTGCCCTCTTGAGTTCACATAACGCTCTGCATTTACACATCCTGGGAGTCACTTCCGAAACACAATAGTGCTACTACATCTCATAGCCACATGCAATCATCATCAACTTTGCGTCTCAATGCTTTCATTTCTCAACTAAACATGTTCTATGACAATTCATGCACACACCAAGAACCAACTTCTCACATCCCCATGCAGTCATCATCTCAAACTTGTGTCTCACAAGGCAGTCCTAGCTGAACACGTTCTGAAGCTGCCGATGTGCACCAGCTGAACACGTTCTATAGCTGTCCATGTGCACCAGCTGAACACGTTCTGTAGCTGTCCATGTGCACCAGCTGAACACGTTCTGTAGCTGCTGTTGTGCACCAGCTGAACACGTTCTGTAGCTGCCGATGTGCAGCGGTAACCCTCTTCTCACATCTGTAAGATAATACACTCCAGACTGCTGCCCCCCCCACACAGATTCTCGTCCGTGCCTACTGCTCTGCTCAATCTGTATCATTGTAAGTAAACATTATAGGGCATTCCATTGTAATTATCAGAGTAAAATCAAATTATAGTATCTGCTTTAGTGTGAGAATGAAGATGTCGAAGTCCGTGTTACCACCCCCAGCCCTTGTAGCCATTACCTGCAGTACAGGTGACCTTTTCTATACAGCAGAGAGTTGAAATAAGTTCATGATCAGTAGACATTCACGCTGATGATGTGGAAGGTTTTTATTATTCCGATGTCCATGAAGGCAATGTGTTCTGAACAGCACAGATGTGGCCCTTTTCACTTGATCATTTCCTGTGAACATAATCCCTACGAAATAGTACATATTGTTGGAGGAAAGTTTATGCAGGGGTTTGTATTATGATTTTGTCATTGGTTTGCTGGAGTAAAATCATCAGCGAATCTTTCCCCTTCAGTTTAATTAGTAATGTGTCAGTGATGAGCTGGTGTTTCCATCTTTAGGCAACATCTCATTCTCACATTAAGCTTTAGGGTGTGGCTGTGGTCTGATTGTACAGGGGCTGTGTAGGGTATAACTGTGTATATACACGGACTGTACAGTGTGTCTCACACTGTATGGTGTGTCTTGCACTGTTGGGTGTCTTGTAATGAAGGATGCCTCTCACATTGTAGGACGTGTCTTGTACAATTTGTCTTGATGTACAATTACTGTTGATGCATCTGACTTCAGGATGCGTCTCACGTTATATAGTGGGTCTAAATGGGTTGTACACAGACAGGGGGGTGTAGGGGTTTGGTGTGTACACACAGGGGGGTGTAGGGGTATGGTGTGTACACAGATAGGGATGTGTAGGGGTATGGTGTGTACACAGATAGGGATGTGTAGGGGTATGGTGTGTACACAGATAGGGATGTGTAGGGGTATGGTGTGTACACAGATAGGGATGTGTAGGGGTATGGTGTGTACACAGATAAGGGGGTGTAGGGGTATGGTGTGTACACAGATAGGGATGTGTAGGGGTATGGTGTGTACACAGATAAGGGGGTGTAGGGGTATGGTGTGTACACAGATAGGGATGTGTAGGGGTATGGTGTGTACACAGATAGGGGGTTGTAGGGGTATGGTGTGTACACAGATAGCGGGTTGTAGGGGTATGGTGTGTACACAGATAGGGGGGTGTAGGGGTATGGTGTGTACACAGATAGGGGGTTGTAGGGGTATGGTGTGTACACAGATAGGGGGTTGTAGGGGTATGGTGTGTACACAGACGGGGTGTAGGGGTACGGTGTTTTCACGGACAGTAGGGGTATGGTGTGTACACAGATAGGGGGTGTAGGGGTATGGTATGTACACAGATTAGGGGCATTCAGGGGTATGGTATGTACACAGGGGGGTGTAGGGGTATGGTGCACACACGGTTTCACACGAAGATGCATCTCTATGGAGAGGTGTGGACGCACAAGGATGCTGTGTACATGGTGTGTGTCATGCTGACTATATGGTAATCCTGCTGTACAGCGCTGCCAGTATTGTACAGTGCATGGTCTGTCATTGATCACTGAAGCGGAGTGTTCACTCTGTATCATTGTCATCATCACATAGAGGCCTGACACGGCGCTGCTGCTGCTGCTGCTGCAGTGATGGCCGCTGAAGTGTCAGGTATGGGTGTACATATGTCTCACACTTTGTCCATCGGAGACTCATGTTTTGTATCATGTTGAGATGTTTAAAAAAATGGAAAAATAAAAAATTTGAATAATTACTTGATCTCCTGTTCTTTTTTAAAAAGAAGTCTAGTTTGAGCCAAAGGACATGGGTCTCATACTTCGAAAACATATTGACTTTGTACAGCTCCAACCTGAACATAAGCTGAATTCTAGAAACATTCACTGCACATGGAGAGTGTGACGAATGTGTCTCCTTGGCTGTCCTACCTTAGACAGAAAGACCTACTGAGGTGATATCTCCGATGATGCTCATTGTCATGATGAAGACGACGTAACAAACCCACTCACTGACGTGGACAGGTGCTTGTGTTCGGGCGTGCCTTACATGATGCTTCAGTACTCGCCATACATGTTTCTCCTTCCGTATGCATTTAAACTAGAGTACTGACGGAAATGCTAGAAAGCTGCTTTTGTGGTTTCATTTCATAAATACGAGTTATAGGACTATAAAAAGAGCATATATCAAAAATACGCAAATTGACCTAATCTAGCCTGTCCTAACTGACACTGTGATTACGCTTAAAGTGTACTTTTACAGGTAAAATGATGGTCAACTTAGAAAATATTTGTGTGTTGTAATGCATGTATGAAATGACCTATAACTTGAGGTAATTACCTAACACCTGTCCCGAGGTGATGACCTCACACCCTCCCGTGCATTCTCACAGGTGCAAATGTCACCGAGTTGGGGGCGGTCTCAAAATATTGCTGTTATTGTGCTTAATTGACATGTGCGTTGATGGGGTAGCAATTTAGGATATATATTTCATTATATTGCTTGGAAACATGATGGAATAGTTAAGAGCTATGAAACAGGATGAGTGTTGGAAGGTAGCGGTTTGGGAATCCAGAAGTATTTGTTGTTCCATAGATGATTTCTTGAGGTAGCATTTACCTACGCTGATGACGTACATGAATCTACTTTTGAATGTTGTGTTATGTCTTGCCTAGAACTCTTTACACTTAGCCAAGATGGGTTGAGTTCACAATGTCGGACTGGCGTACGTAACGCAACGTAACCTTATTGTGCCGCCAGCACATATGTCCTGTTCTTATTAAGCCGAAGTTTCTCCATGAGTTGAACTTTCGTTTTATGTGGTCTGAAGTCGACAATGTCCTATATTCCTGTATGTCGCCTTCACACTATTCATGGTTGGGGCGACAGTCTCTGATTCCCGGACGTTGTATTAACTGGCGTTATCCATGACAATGACACTGACGTTGTTTAAAATGGGCAACAGCTGAAGTTCCAACCATCATTAAAACGGAGTCACGTGTGCATATTTCTATGGTCCGTTTCAGACTGCCATCATTGGACTTCCATCAAAAGTAAACTTCCTGTTTTCTCTCGAATTTGTCTCCTGTAAACTTGTCGATAGGACTCCTTGTGACATTTGTCTCCTGTAAACTTGTCGATAGGACTCCTTGTGACTGAAATACTTCAAACCACAGGTGAGTCGATCGGTAGTTGCTCGATATTTCAATAACAACAGTCTGTGAAAAAATATATCCATTTTTAACAGGCAAAAAGCAGTTTTCTAGCATTTCCGACATTACTTTAAATATGTTGGCATCCATTTCCCCGTGGATACGTCAGTTCATGGATGCAGACAGACAGTCTTCCGGATCTCCCAGGGCTGTGTCTGTACCCCTAGACGTTTCCTCAGCTGATTCTAACTACGCGACACTGAAAGCAGCGCACTGACACCAGAGAACATGGATGTGTTTGACCCTGACTCAGCCGTATTGCCCACAGATATACATGGGTGTTAAAGGACGGAGTGCAATGTTGTAAAGAAGATGATCACGCAACTCATGGGTCATCTGATGCTTTGTTGTCGCCCTGTCTGGCGCTCGGCATTAAGGGGCTAAACAAGGACTGGTCGGCTCGGAGTCAAAATACTGTGTCCGAGTGGGGTATTCATGTTAAACTGCGGCATGGTGTCTCAGTGGGCTAGCACTATAAATCGGCATCAGTCCGGACTAGTACAAGCAGACGGACGGACGAACGGACGGACGCACGCACGCACGCACGCACGCACACACACACACACACACAAACACACGTCGCTATATAAGTGCAATAATCTTAAACCCCATTTCACCTCACTTCATCTGATGCTCACGACAGTATCTGCATTCCCTGGGCCAGGGGAATGGTGGCAGGATGACAACTGATGACGTCACATGATGGCATCATAGATTGCTAGTCGCAAGTTAAATCTCCAAGTGTTGTCCTACTGAAGTCCGCATCACCTTCTCACCGTCTCCCTCTCGCCATCCTTCCTCTACACAGCTTTGTGTCTTGCGGATCTTCCCCCTGTACAACACCATGGAAGTCCAAAGCTCCACTAGTTATTGCTTCTGACTTGAGAGCCGAGAGCTTGACTGCCGTAAGGTACGGCCGTGTTTGCGAGAAGTCTTTAGCCTTGCAATGTGCACCCAAGCGCCAAATCAAATGAATGAATATCCAAAGGAAATATAAAGAAGTAAGACCAAGACATGTCAGTCGAAAATTGTATCAGAGGAAAGCACAGCAAGTAATGACATAATATTTATATTGTTTGCACTACGTCAGAAAGTTACTGATGTTCAGTCAGGATCAATGACACATAATCTTGTATTTTGTGAAATTCAAGGTGACACCAGCAAGAAACTGTTAGTTTCGGAGCGAGTGAGTGAATATGGTTCTACGCCGCATTTAGCAATATTCCAGCAATATCACGGCGGGGGACGCCGGAAATTGGCTTCACTCATTGTAGCGATGTGGAGAATCAAACCTGGATCTTCGGCGTGTGTGAGTTTCTGAAGTATGAACTGAAACTTGACTACAGCATGGAATTTGACAGGGTACGTAGAATCGGAGGACCTCAGGCTAGAGGACCTCAGGCTAGAGGACCTCAGGCTAGAGCACCTCGACCGAAAGTTGCAAACTTTTCCATTTTCAAAGACAGGGGTGTTGTCAGACGAGCAGCCTTCGCGGAAGTAAAATGAACTCACTTCTTGGTAAATGAACCCGAAGGAGGTAAAAGACGGAAACGGAAACGGCTATATCCAGTGCGTCGTGCGTCAAATCGTGCAGGAGATCTGTACGCCTAGATAGACTGTACATCAACGCCAGACGCAAGGTGGGTTCCGGATTCAAAGAGCGACACCCTGAGAAGTCGTCACAAACTGGAAAAGCTTCAGAGGCCCACGATGACGTCGGCGACCTCGACAACCACAACTTCTTCCATGGAAACGGCATCGGAAGGCGCGGAGCATACCGCTAATCGTCCGGAAACAAATCAACTATCTGTCCGTTCTCTGAATGTTTGAGGATTATGAACAACTTGTTTAACCCTGACTTTGACTTTAATATCCAACTGTGATCTTATTTGTCTCACTGACACTAACACCTGTGGGCATATTAGTATCCTAGGATTCAGTCACCTGTGGGAATATTGGTGTGCTAGGATTCAGTCACCTGTGGGAATATTGGTGTGCTAGGATTCAGTCACCTGTGGGAATATTGGTATGCTAGGATTCAGTCACCTGTGGGAATATTGGTATGCTAGGATTCAGTCACCTGTGGGAATATTAGTATCCTAGGATTCAGTCACCTGTGGGAATATTGGTATGCTAGGATTCAGTCACCTGTGGGAATATTGGTATGCTAGGATTCAGTCACCTGTGGGCCTATTGGTATGCTAGGATTCAGTCACCTGTGGGCCTATTGGTATGCTAGGATTCAGTCACCTGTGGGCCTATGGGTATGGTAGGATTCAGTCACCTGTGGGCCTATGGGTATGGTAGGATTCAGTCACCTGTGGGCCTATGGGTATGCTAGGATTCAGTCACCTGTGGGCCTATGGGTATGCTAGGATTCAGTCACCTGTGGGCCTATGGGTATGGTAGGATTCAGTCACCTGTGGGAATATTGGTATGCTAGGATTCAGTCACCTGTGGGCCTATGGGTATGGTAGGATTCAGTCACCTGTGGGAATATTGGTATGCTAGGATTCAGTCAACTGTGGGAATATTGGTATGGTAGGATTCAGTCACCTGTGGGAATATTGGTATGCTAGGATTCAGTCACCTGTGGGAATATTGGTATGCTAGGATTCAGTCACCTGTGGGAATATTGGTATGCTAGGATTCAGTCACCTGTGGGCCTATGGGTATGCTAGGATTCAGTCACCTGTGGGAATATTGGTATGGTAGGATTCAGTCACCTGTGGGAATATTGGTATGGTAGGATTCAGTCACCTGTGGGCATATTGGTATGCTAGGATTCAGTCACCTGTGGGCCTATGGGTATGGTAGGATTCAGTCACCTGTGGGAATATTGGTATGCTAGGATTCAGTCACCTGTGGGAATATTGGTATGCTAGGATTCAGTCACCTGTGGGCCTATGGGTATGGTAGGATTCAGTCACCTGTGGGCCTATGGGTATGGTAGGATTCAGTCACCTGTGGGAATATTGGTATGGTAGGATTCAGTCACCTGTGGGCATATTGGTATGCTAGGATTCAGTCACCTGTGGGAATATTGGTATGCAAAGCTTGTGGTGTAGACAATATAAGTAATGAGTACATCAAAGCCTGTGGTTTAGACAATATAAGTAATGACTACATCAAAGCTTGTGGTTTAGACAATACAAGTAACGAGTACATCAAAGCCACTGGCTTAGACAATATAAGTAATGAGTACATCAAAGCCTGTGGTTTAGACAATATAAGTAACGAGTACATCAAAGCTTGTGGTTTAGACAATACAAGTAATGAGTACATCAAAGCCTGTGGTTTAGACGATATAAGTAATGAGTACATCAAAGCCTGTGGTTTAGACAATATAAGTAATGAGTACATCAAAGCCTGTGGTTTAGACAATATAAGTAATGAGTACATCAAAGCCTGTGGTTTAGACAATATAAGTAATGAGTACACCAAAGCCTGTGGTTTAGACAATATAAGTAATGAGTACATCAAAGCCTGTGGTTTAGACAATATAAGTAATGAGTACACCAAAGCCTGTGGTTTAGACAATATAAGT